GAAAAGTTTTGAATAGAAAATTAAGAGCATTTTCTTTAGTTTTATAGCGGATCTCAAAGTGTTAAGTCGAAGTCGTGAAAGAATCAAAAAAAAAACGCGTCTGACAGGCAGTTTTTCTTGTCTTTAATAGTTTTTATTTTACTATTGAATGAAAAAGTATTAACTGCAAATAATTTATTTTATTGATGTACGTTACAAGAAATTTATTTGTTTAATTTTAAATTTTATTTTATTTATTTGTCTTCGATAAGTGCGCGAAGAGCAAAGAAAGAAAATCTATTTTAATTGAATGAAATTGATTTTAAATGTTTTGATATTCAAGAAAAGAAATTTGTGGTGAAAAAAAAACGACAATTTTGTTTTTTATTATTAATGAAAAAGTTTACTAAAGCTTTAATTAAGAAATATTTATGATTATTTTAATTGAAACTTGTGCTGTAATGGAGAGATTTTTATAATAAAAAAATAAATAAATCATAAATTTAATCTTCAAAAAATCAAAGGAATTGAAAATTATTTAATTTAAAAAAATGCGGAAATAATGCTAATGTTTATGAAAGTTCAAATATTACAACTATAACCAGAAAACTGTCCCCTAGAAACCAACAACGTAACTAGTTCTAATTTCACAACCGTTAATTTTGTACAAATATAACCCTTTTACTGTCAGTTTTAACAATTAAATCGTAAAACATTAAAATATATCCGCGTTTATATTTAATTCTTAAAAATAAAATAAATTGTTTTTTTCTTTTTTTCACGTTCAAGTTCTTGGCCACTTAATTCAAATAATTTTTTTATTTTTGTCTGAATATTAGAAATTTTGTAAATTGTGGGAAAATTTTGTTTAAAAAAATAAATAAAAATAAATTACAAAAACTAAATCGTTAAGAAAAGAAACACTATGTGCCCAACAAGTGGTTGAGAAGACAGACATCATACCTACTATAGTGCTTTCAATATGTCGAATCATTTAGACAAGGTAGCAACCGATAAATTTTATAAAACAAGCAAAAACAAAATTAAATTAATTTGTAAATTTGCGAAAAGTGATTCTAGTAAAACTACAGATTTATAAAAAATAGATCAGGAGGCTTTAAACTTTCTACTCAATTTGAATTTTATAAGAAAAAAAATAGTTTTTTTTAGCATAAGCAATCTAGTTAGATCTAGTTTAGTTCTAGTTCAGTTCTAGTTCAATTCCAGTTCAATTCCTAGTAAACATTTTCTCCCATTTTCCCTTTTCAAGTATTATTAACATACTACTGTTTAAATAAAAACTCTTTGATTCTTTATTAAACAAATATTTATCATTATTTCGCTATTCCTCAGAAAAACTATAATTTACATACATATTTAAGAAAAGTCTACTTATTTATACAACTAATTAGTTAAATTAAACTAAGTAATTAATTTATTAAGTAAATACCTTAATTAACATGTGTTCAATGATTACGGTCACAAAAGTGGAAATTACAATTCTTAAAAGAGAAAGGTAATCGATATTAAAAATACAACAAAAAAAAAATAAAAATATCAAAAAAAAAAAAAAAAAAAAACAATAAAAGCCGGAATGTAAATAAAACAAAAATATGTTGTGTTTTCCTTAATAAATTTTACAATGACTACATTAACGATGTTACACAAGTGTCAAAATTAAACGGTTATAATAAAAGACCTTTCTAAATTATGGACTTTTATTAGCAGCATTTAAAAATAAACAATAAATGTATTGGGAAAAGGAATTCCCTTAATCTTTAACATTTGTTAATGCGTGGATAAAATAATATTATACAGCTAACGACAAACAAAGGACACATAAAACTGAATTAGAACTGAATTAGAACTGAACTAGAACTGAACTAGAACTGAACTAGAACTGAACTAGAACTGAACTAGAACTGAACTAGAACTGAACTAGAACTGAACTAGAACTGAACTAGAACTGAACTAGAACTGAACTAGAACTGAACTAGAACTGAACTAGAACTGAACTAGAACTGAACTAGAACTGAACTAGAACTGAACTAGAACTGAACTAGAACTGAACTAGAACTGAACTAGAACTGAACTAGAACTGAACTAGAACTGAACTAGAACTGAACTAGAACTGAACTAGAACTGAACTAGAACTGAACTAGAACTGAACTAGAAACTGAACTAGAACTGAACTAGAACTGAACTAGAACTGAACTAGAACTGAACTAGAACTGAACTAGAACTGAACTAGAACTGAACTAGAACTGAACTAGAACTGAACTAGAACTGAACTAGAACTGAACTAGAACTGAACTAGAACTGAACTAGAACTGAACTAGAACTGAACTAGAACTGAACTAGAACTGAACTAGAACTGAACTAGAACTGAACTAGAACTGAACTAGAACTGAACTAGAACTGAACTAGAACTGAACTAACTGAACTGAACTGAACTAGAACTGAACTAGAACTGAACTAGAACTGAACTAGAACTGAACTAGAACTGAACTAGAACTGAACTAGAACTGAACTAGAACTGAACTAGAACTGAACTAGAACTGAACTAGAACTGAACTAGAACTGAACTAGAACTGAACTAGAACTGAAGAACTGAACTAGACTTAACTAGAACTGAACTAGAACTGAACTAGAACTGAACTAGAACTGAACTAGAACTGAACTAGAACTGAACTAGAACTGAACTAGAACTGAACTAGAACTGAACTAGAACTGAACTAGAATGAACTAGAACTGAACTAGAACTGAACTAGAACTGAACTAGAACTGAACTAGAACTGAACTAGAACTGAACTAGAACTGAACTAGAACTGAACTAGAACTGAACTAGAACTGAACTAGAACTGAACTAGAACTGAACTAGAACTGAACTAGAACTGAACTAGAACTGAACTAGAACTGAACTAGAACTGAACTAGAACTGAACTAGAACTGAACTAGACTGAACTAGAACTGAACTAGAACTGAACTAGAACTGAACTAGAACTGAACTAGAACTGAACTAGAACTGAACTAGAACTGAACTAGAACTGAACTAGAACTGAACTAGAACTGAACTAGAACTGAACTAGAACTGAACTAGAACTGAACTAGAACTGAACTAGAACTGAACTAGAACTGAACTAGAACTGAACTAGAACTGAACTAGAACTGAACTAGAACTGAACTAGAACTGAACGAACTGAACTAGAACTGACTAAACTGAACTAGAACTGAACTAGAACTGAACTAGAACTGAACTAGAACTGAACTAGAACTGAACTAGAACTGAATAGAACTGAACTAGAACTGAACTAGAACTGAACTAGAACTGAACTAGAACTGAACTAGACTGAACTAGAACTGAACTAGAACTGAACTAGAACTGAAAAGAAACTGAACTAGAACTGAACTAGAACTGAACTAGAACTGAACTAGAACTGAACTAGAACTGAACTAGAACTGAACTAGAACTGAACTAGAACTGAACTAGAATGAACTAGAACTGAACTAGAACTGAACTAGAACTGAACTAGAACTGAACTAGAACTGAACTAGAACTGAACTAGAACTGAACTAGAACTGAACTAGAACTGAACTGAACTAGAACTGAACTAGAACTGAACTAGAACTGAACTAGAACTGAACTAGAACTGAACTAGAACTGAACTAGAACTGAACTAGAACTGAACTAGAACTGAACTAGAACTGAACTAGAACTGAACTAGAACTGAACTAGAACTGAACTAGAACTGAACTAGAACTGAACTAGAACTGAACTAGAACTGAACTAGAACTGAATTAGAACTGAACTAGAACTGAACTAGAACTGAACTAGAACTGAACTAGAACTGAACAAGAACTGAACTAGAACTGAACTAGAACTGAACTAGAACTGAACTAGAACTGAACTAGAACTGAACTAGAACTGAACTAGAACTGAACTAGAACTGAACTAAAACTGAAAAAACTGAACTAGAACTGAACTAGAACTGAACTAGAACTGAACTAGAACTGAACTAGAACTGAACTAGAACTGAACTAGAACTGAACTGAACTAACTGAACTGAACTAGAACTGAACTAGAACTGAACTAGAACTGAACTAGAACTGAACTAGAACTGAACTAGAACTGAACTAGAAACTGAACTAGAACTGAACTAGAACTGAACTAGAACTGAACGAACTGAACTAGAACTGAACTAGAACTGAACTAGAACTGAACTAGAACTGAACTAGAACTGAACTAAACTGAACTAGAACTGAACTAGAACTGAACTAGAACTGAACTAGAACTGAACTAGAACTGAACTAGAACTGAACTAGAACTGAACTAGAACTGAACTAGAACTGAACTAGAACTGAACTAGAACTGAACTAGAACTGAACTAGAACTGAACTAGAACTGAACTAGAACTGAACTAGAACTGACTGAACTGAACTAGAACTGAACTAGAACTGAACTAGAACTGAACTAGAACTGAACTAGAACTGAACTAGAACTGAACTAGAACGGAACTAGAACTGAACTAGAACTGAACTAGAACTGAACTAGAACTGAACTAGAACTGAACTAGTACTGAACTAGAACTGAACTAGAACTGAACTAGAACTGAACTAGAACTGAACTAGAACTGAACTAGAACTGAACTAGAACTGAACTAGAACTGAACTAGAACTGAACTAGAACTGAACTAGAACTGAACTAGAACTGAACTAGAACTGAACTAGAACTGAACTAGAACTGAACTAGAACTGAACTAAGAACTAGAACTGAACTAGAACTGAACTAGAACTGAAAGAACTGAACTAGAACTAGAACTGAACTAGAACTGAAACTAAATCTCAACTAGATTAGTAAATTTGAACTTTAATGTAACCTATTTTATTGTCACTAGCTGTATACGGTTCTGCTTAACATCGATTAACTCAAATTCTAAAGAGTAAACAGTTTGAAAAGACGATTCAACAAAATAACACTATGGTTTTAAATTCTAGTAAATAAAAGTAGAAAAAGGTGTAAATCAGCAAAAGGGAAAATACTTAAAAAAAAAAATATCAAAAAAATTACCATAAAAAATTAATTTAAAAACATGCAAAAAAGGAATAAATATAATAATAAAATAGAAATGCATATGAGAGTAATTTTTTGATGGAAATAGAATTTGAAATTGTGGTTTCATGCCTGACTGAGAGACTAAAAGTGAAGTGCGTTCATGAGAGTAGAATTTTAAATTAATATTGGAAAAATATAGTTAAATAATTTCAATTCATTGTTAATTAAAGTACAAAAAAAAAAAAAAAAAAAACAATTGAAAACATGAAATTAATTTATTATTTTTATATAAAATTTATTTAATTTCAGGGTCAGAATTATGAGAGGCTTTAAACAGTAAGTTTAGAAAGAAAAGAGATAGAAAAACCCAAAAGCAGAAAATAAAAATAATCTCATCTTAAGTGATAGCACTAAGAAGTTTAAAGTTTTAACCCTAATAATTATAAGAATTATAAAATTAAAAATGAATGGCACCAAAGCTTCACCTAAAGCCTCTCCTAAAATGGGCCAACGTAATTTAGCTTACATATCAGAAGCTCCCGATATAAACCATGCAACAAGACAGCAAAACACAAATCTTCCACCTAATTCTACCCCAAGAACAGCAGCCACCACAGCGACATCTTCCCCAGCTACTGATATTATAGGAGAAATTACAGGCGATTTTGGTGTCTGGCAACTTAGAACGATACTCATTATCTTTCTTTGTAAAATTCCCGCCTCTTGGTTTATGGCTTGTATAATATTCACCGCCCCAGAACTCTATCCCCGCACAGAGTTTGTTTGTGATGCAACATCTTTAAAACCAAATCAAAGTATTACAAGAGATCAGTGTTATATAGACGATGTAGTTACGGGTCAACGTGAGGAGTGTACACAATTTTTATATGATTTCAGTTTTCAATCGCTTATCATGCAATTCAATTTGGTGTGTTTGAGGGATATTTTCGTGGCGTGGACCCAATACTGGCATTTGTTTGGTGTTTTGGTGGGTGGTGTGGCAGCTACGAAAATGATGTTATTGTAAGTGCGAGTTGGAAGAGTAGTATTTTAAATTTAGTTAATATATTGTTATTTTAAATGCAGCATTAGTCCCCGCAATGTGTATTTTATTGGCCAGATAGCCCAGATTATTTGTGGTGTAGTGACAGGTTATGCTCGTGACTTTAGTTTACACTGTGCTTTCCGATGTTTGTCGGCGGTTTGCTGCGCTATCATGTTTACTTCGGGTCAAGCGATATGTAAGTATAAAATTATAGTTCAGTCTATTTTGAGTTCGACCTCATTTATAGTTCGGTTCTAGTTCAGTTCTAATTCTGTTCTAGTTCTGTTCTAGTTCTGTTCTAGTTCTGTTCTAGTTCTGTTCTGTTCTAGTTCTGTTCTAGTTCTGTTCTAGTTCTGTTCTAGTTCTGTTCTAGTTCTGTTCTAGTTCTGTTCTAGTTCTATTCTAGTTCTGTTCTAGTTCTGTTCTAGTTCTGTTCTAGTTCTGTTCTAGTTCTGTTCTAGTTCTGTTCTAGTTCTGTTCTAGTTCTGTTCTAGTTCTGTTCTAGTTCTGTTCTAGTTCTGTTCTAGTTCTGTTCTAGTTCTGTTCTAGTTCTGTTCTAGTTCTGTTCTAGTTCTGTTCTAGTACAGTTCTAATTCAGTTCTAGTTCAGTTCTAGTTCAGTTCTATTTCAGTTCTAGTTCAGTTCTAGTTCAGTTCTAGTTCAGTTCTAGTTTAGTTCTAGTTCAGTTCTAGTTCAGTTCTAGTTCAGTTCTAGTTCAGCTCTAGTTCAGTTCTAGTTCAGTTCTAGTTCAGTTCTAGTTCAGTTCTAGTTCAGTTCTTGTTCAGTTCTAGTTCAGTTCTAGTTCAGTTCTAGTTCAGTTCTAGTTCAGTTCTAGTTCAGTTCTAGTTCAGTTCTAGTTCAGTTCTAGTTCATTTCTAGTTCATTTCTAGTTCAGTTCTAGTTCAGTTCTAGTTCAGTTCTAGTTCAGTTCTAGTTCAGTTCTAGTTCAGTTCTAGTTCAGTTCTAGTTCAGTTCTAGTTCAGTTCTAGTTCAGTTCTAGTTCAGTTCTAGTTCAGTTCTAGTTCAGTTCTAGTTCAGTTCTAGTTCAGTTCTAGTTCAGTTCTAGTTCAGTTCTAGTTCAGTTCTAGTTCAGTTCTAGTTCAGTTCTAGTTCAGTTCTAGTTCAGTTCTAGTTCAGTTCTAGTTCAGTTCTAGTTCAGTTCTAGTTCAGTTCTAGTTCAGTTCAGTTCAGTTCAGTTCAGTTCTAGTTCAGTTCTAGTTCAGTTCTAGTTCAGTTCTAGTTCAGTTCTAGTTCAGTTCTAGTTCAGTTCTAGTTCAGTTCTTGTTCAGTTCTAGTTCAGTTCTATTTCAGTTCTAGTTCAGTTTTATTTCAGTTCTAGTTCAGTTCTAGTTCAGTTCTAGTTCAGTTCTAGTTTAGTTCTAGTTTAGTTCTAGTTCTGTTCTAGTTCTGTTCTAGTTCTGTTCTAGTTCTGTTCTAGTTCTGTTCTAGTTCTGTTCTAGTTCTGTTCTAGTTCTGTTCTAGTTCTGTTCTAGTTCTGTTCTAGTTCTGTTCTAGTTCTGTTCTAGTTCTGTTCTAGTTCTAGCTCAGTTCTAGTTCTAGCTCAGTTCTAGTTCTATTTCAGTTCTTGTTCCATTCTATGAACATTTTAACCTAAATTAATATCTATTCAATTCCTTCCAGTTGCCGATATCACTTCTGGCATTTACCGAATCGGAGCCATCATACTCTACGATACATTCTGGTCTCTAGGCGTCATCTTTCTACCCTCTCTTTCTGCCTTTTTCAATAGTTGGACTCACATCTATCTCGGTATTACATTCCCTACATTATTTTTAACTTTACTCCTACAATGGACCCCAGAATCTCCACGTTGGCTCTTAAAAAATGGCGATGATAAAGTGATTAATCGTGTGGCAGATATAGTGCGTGAGGGAGCTGCCATAAATCATCGTCTCGATAAGATACCCGAAGATTTTCATCAACAATTACAAAATTTGAGAGTAAAAATGAAAGCTGCTCCAGCGCCCGCTAAATGGTTGGAATTGTGGCAGGGGCCCAGAGCAAAAGTGCACATGATAGCGGCACATTTGGCTTTGGCAGCGTTTATTATAAATTTCATGGGCATGTTGTTGAATATGAGATCATTTGGCAGGGATTATTTAGTGCCAAATACTGTGGCAATGGGTAAGATTTCTAACTTTATAATCTAACTAAATATATAAATTATTAAGGTTATTTTTTATAAACAGGCTTTTCCGAAATATTTGGCTGCCTTTTGGCTTTACATTTCACTTTAAAGCACAATAAATGGAAGTGGCAATGGGCTGGGGGTTTCAATATTTTAGCGGGAATATTGGGTTGTCTAGGCTGGTTATTTAGTTCAGCTGAAAGTAAGTAACTTCGATAACTATTGGAATTACAATAGAATTCTTTAATAAAAATCAATTTATTATTCCTTAGTGGATCCCGAATTGAAAGTCACCTTGTGGATGATAATTGCCACCATACCCAAAGCTGCTGTCTCATGTGCCCAATCCATGATATTAGCCTGTATGAACGAAGTCATGCCGGCCAATAAGAAAGTCCCCTTTGTCTTCTCGGTAGTAACATGGGCCCGCATCTGGCTGCTGTCAGCTCCGTTTGTTAATGTTCTTAAGAAAATCGATGTAGCCCTGTCTCTTAGTACTTATTGTGCTCTAAGTATATTTGGTGGCTTTTTCACCTGTCTCATTTTGACACCCAGAACGCCAAAACCAGCAGTAGGAGAGGAAGGCAGCAGAACGAGAAATAATAATAAAAATGCATCACCGTTGGCAAAGACTGTCTGGACAACGGAAACAAATGTAAATAATACTCGTCTTTAATAGAGGAGACAATAATTGCCGCAGGAAGGAAGGCAGTATATTTGTAGTTAATTTAGTTTAACTGAGAAGAAAACTTTATTACAAACAAAAAGTGTGATAATAAAAACAGTTATTAAAGAGTTTAGCTAGAAGCAAATGACAGAATAAAATTAAACACAATGTATTGTAGTCGTACTTAAACTAATTGTAAGAATTAATGTAAAGTTTTAATTTTTTATATTAAAGAAATCAACTAATAAATGTGATGATTTTACGATATTAAGATGTTAAAGTAATGTTGTACTAATGATTATGAGAAATCAATTAATTGGAAACGATTTTAATTAATGAAGAGAATTTTTTTGAACTAGAACAGAACTAGAACTAGAACTGAACTAGAACTGAACTAGAACTGAACTAGAACTGAACTACAGAACTAGAACAGAACTAGAACAGAACTAGAACTGAACTAGAACTGAACTAGAACTGAACTAGAACTGCACTAGAACTGAACTAGAACTGAACTAGAACTGAACTAGAACAGAACTAGAACTGAACTAGAACTGAACTAGAACTGAACTAGAACTGAACTAGAACTAGAACTGAACTAGAACTGAACTAATCCTGAACTAGAACTGAACTACTGAACTAGAACTGAACTAGAACTGAACTAGAACTGAACTAGAACTGAACTAGAACTGAACTAGAACTGAACTAGAACTGAACTAGAACTGAACTAGAACTGAACTAGAACTGAACTAGAACTGAACTAGAACTGAACTAGAACTGAACTAGAACTGAACTAGAACTGAACTAGAACTGAACTAGAACTGAACTAGAACTGAACTAGAACTGAACTAGAACTGAACTAGAACTGAACTAGAACTGAACTAGAACTGAACTAGAACTGAACTAGAACTGAACTAGAACTGAACTAGAACTGAACTAGAACTGAACTAGAACTGAACTAGAACTGAACTAGAACTGAACTAGAACTGAACTAGAACTGAACTAACTGAACTAGAACGTGAACTAGAACTGAACTAGAACTGAACTAGAACTGAACTAGAACTGAACTAAACTGAACTAGAACTGAACTAGAACTGAACTAGAACTGAACTAGAACTGAACTAGAACTGAACTAGAACTGAACTAGAACTGAACTAGAACTGAACTAGAACTGAACTAGAACTGACTAGAACTGAACTAGAACTGAACTAGAACTGAACTAGAACTGAACTAGAACTGAACAGAACTGAACTAGAACTGAACTAGAACTGAACTAGACTGACTAGAACGAACTAGAACTGAACTAGAACTGAACTAGAACTGAACTAGAACTGAACTAAACTGAACTAGAACTGACGAAAACTGAACTAGAACTGAACTAGAACTGAACTAGAACTGAACTAGAACTGAACTAGAACTGAACTAGAACTGAACTAGAACTGAACCTAAGAAAATGAAACTAGAACTGAACTAGAACTGAACTAGAACTGAACTAGAATGAACTAGAACTGAACTAGAACTAGAACTGAACTAGAACTGAACTAGAACTGAACTAGAACTGAACTAGAACTGAACTAGAACTGAACTAGAACTGAACTAGAACTGAACTAGAACTGAACTAGAACTGAACTAGAACTGAACTAAACTGAACTAGAACTGAACTAGAACTGAACTAGAACTGAACTAGAACTGAACTAGAACTGAACTAGAACTGAACTAGAACTGAACTAGAACTGAAATAGAACTGAACTAGAACTGAACTAGAACTGAACTAGAACTGAACTAGAACTGAACTAGAACTGAACTAGAACTGAACTAGAACTGAACTAGAACTGAACTAGAACTGAACTAGAACTGAACTAGAACTGAACTAGAACAACTGAACTAGAACTGAACTAGAACTGAACTAGAACTGAACTAGAACTGAACTAGAACTGAACTAGAACTGAACTAGAACTGAACTAGAACTGAACTAGAACTGAACTAGAACTGAACTAGAACTGAACTAGAACTGAACTAGAAACTGAACTACTGAACTAGAACTTGAACTGAACTTGAACTGAACTAGAACTGAACTAGAACTGAACATAGAACTGAACTAGAACTGAACTAGAACTGAACTAGAACTGAACTAGAACTGAACTAGAACTGACTAGAACTGACTAGAACTGAACTAGAACTGAACTAGAACTGAACTAGAACTGAAACTAAACTGAACTAGAACTGAACTAGAACTGAACTAGAACTGAACTTGAACTGAACTAGAACTGAACGAGAACTGAACTAGAACTGAACTAGAACTGAAACTAGAACTGAACTAGAACTCAACTAGAACTCAACTAGAACTCAACTAGAACTGAACTAGAACTGAACTAGAACTGAACTAGAACTGAACTAGAACTAAACTAGAACTGAACTAGTACCAGCTAGAACTGAACTAGAAGTGAACTAAAATTTATGTAGAAACGAACTAGCATACTATTGAATGAGAACTAAACGAGGCTAGGACTGAACGAAAACTCAACATTCAACGTCCCAATCGTATCACGTTAAATAAACTTCATATTTATTCCCAATAATTATAAATGTATTCATTGGAGTGAAATTTAAGTCGATCTCTTACTATAAAGTTTTCCATTCAATAGCCACAAGTGGAACTTGTTTGAAGAGGATTTTCTGTAATTTCCAGATAAAGCTTTTTTTACAGGTTCAATACATTTTTCCAACAAACTAAATGAACAGTTGGTTTACAACCATTGAAAAGTGAAAACGTTTTTGTTTTAAAGAAATACGAAGGAAAGTGAGTGAAGAATTCGATTAAAAGAAAACATCAATAAATTTGTATTGTTTTTAATAAAATTTTATAGATCTACAAACAACATAATGGATTTTTACAATAATGCTGTAATATTTGTAACGGGTATGTTGAGTTATTAATGGAAAATTTTATTACAATTAAATAATTAAATTTATGCATTATTAAATAAATTAAACAATTAGAGGAAATTGGATCAATAGTTTAACAATTAGATCCAATGATTTCATAATTACTTTTTATTTAGCAATTTTATTTGCATGAGATCTTATCTAATAAAATTTCTTTCATAATTTTGACACAATTACAATAAAAGACTTTCATAATTTCATTTATTTTCATTCATGTTTTCGGTTTTCTTTACTGGTTTTCTTTGTGCTTTAGGAGCCACTGGTTTTGTGGGCAAAACTTTGCTGGAAAAACTACTTTGGAGTTTTCCTCAGCTCAGTTGTGTTTACATGTTGATACGTGAGAAATATGATAAAAGTGTGGATCAACGTTTTCAAGAGTTTGTTCAGCACAAAATATTTGAACGTTTACGCTCCACCTATCCAGAGCGTTTAAAAAAGCTTAAATTTTTGGCGGGAAATATTGAGAAGGAAAATTTTGGTAAGTTGGCGTTGTTTCGCGTAATTGTCTTCTTCTCTTGGTTATTTGTAACTCTCTTTGGGAAAACAGGTCTTAGTAACGTGGATAAGAAAATGTTGTGTGCTGAGGTAAATATTATTTTTCACAGTGCCGCCACTGTCCGCTTCAATGAAAGACTTAAAGTGGCTGCACGTGTAAATGCCGTTGCCACTTGGAATTTATTGGAAATGTGTAAAGATATGCCGCTACTTAAGGTAAATGGATAAACTACCACTTAACTAAAAATAGAACCGAACTGGAACTGAACTAGAATTGAACTAGAACTGAACTAGAACTGAACTAGAACTGAACTAGAACTAAACTATTTAAAGACATTAATAAAGATTTTTCTTCTATCGTATTCCTTGCAGAGTTTTGTATATGTTTCGACTGCCTATTGCAATCCGGGACGCAAGTATGTTGATGAGGAAATATATCCCACTTTACCTCCCGTAAATTGGAAACATTTTGTTGATTGTGCCTTAAAAATACCCGATGAATATTTTAACAGTCTGGCCAACTATATTAAGGTTTGTTACAAGATCTTTACCCAAATTTATATAACTCCTTTCTACTTCTTTATTACAGGGACCCCATCCTAATACCTACACCTTTACCAAATCCATAGCCGAGCAAATAGTCAATGATTATAAACACTTGATACCCATAGTAATAGTAAGACCTTCGATAGTAACTGCGGCTCATCGTGAACCCTACCCAGGATGGATAGATAATATACAGGGTATTACGGGTATAATGATGGAAATAGGTAAAGGATCTATAAGCAGCATTTTAGGAGATAAAGATGTTATATGCGATATAATACCAGTAGATTATGTGGTGAATTCCATGATATTAACGGCTCAAAGGGCAGTCAAGAGGAGGTAGGACTGAGAAACTAAAATATTTAAAACGTTCTTAACTAATGTTTATCTTTTAGGGTATATATTTCCAACTCCACCTCTGGCGCTACTAATCCTATTACTTGGGAAGAATTGGGCAACTTGACCCTTAAATGGTCACGCATATATCCCACCAAAAAATTACTCATGTATCCTTATTTCAAATATCGCAAAAGTTATTTCTTTCACGACATGGCAGTCTATATATTACACTATATACCGGCCATTTTAATGGATCTTTTATCTCTGATACAAGGTGGTAAACGTCGAATGGTATTGCCTATAGCTAAGAAATTTAGACAAGCCTGTTTGGCGGGTGAGTTTTTATGGGTATGAGCTAAAAAAATTAATTTCTAAAAGCTATTTTCTAGGCAAATGTTTTTCTCTCAATGAGTGGATATTTTTGAATAGCAGTCGTTATTATTTCGCTGATTTGAACAATAATGCTGTTGATACTAGTCTAGATTGTAATTTACAATCTCTGAACTATGACAATTATATACGACAATTTGTTATTGGCATACAGAAGTATTTGCATCGTGAACCGATATGTGACAATTCTAATAAGTTTAAAATAACCAGGTGAGTAAGAAGAATTCTTATTATAGACTATAGGCTGGACTATAATCGAGACTAAATAAGAGACGGATCAATAGACGAGATTATAGACTAAATAATAGGCGAGATTATAAAGTGGACTATAAACTATACTAGAGACTAGACTTATAGACTATACTATATATAAAGTTGACTATAGACTAGACTATATATATTATATATATATATATATATATATATATATATATATATTATATATATATATATAAATATATTATACAGTGGACTATAAACTATACTATAGACTAGACTCTATAGACTATACTATCTATAAAGTTGACTATAGACTAGACTATAGACTAGACTATAGACTAGACTAGACTAATATAACTAGACTATAGACTAGACATAGACTAGACTATAGACTAGACTATAGACTAAGACTATAGACTAGACTATAGACTAGACTATAGACTAGACTATAGACTAGACTATAGACTAGACTATAGACTAGACTATAGGACTAGGACTATAGACTAGACTATAGACTAGACTATAGACTAGACTATAGACTAGACTATAGACTAGACTATAGACTAGACTATAGACTAGACTATAGACTAGACTATAGACTAGACTATAGACTAGACTATAGACTATAGACTAGACTATAGACTAGACTATAGACTAGACTATAGACTAGACTATAGACTAGACTATAGACTAGACTATAGACTAGACTATAGACTAGACTATAGACTAGACTATAGACTAGACTATAGACTAGACTATAGACTAGACTATAGACTAGACTATAGACTAGACTATAGACTAGACTATAGACTAGACTATAGACTAGACTATAGACTAGACTATAGACTAGACTATAGACTAGACTATAGACTAGACTATAGACTAGACTATAGACTAGACTATAGACTAGACTATAGACTAGACTATAGACTAGACTATAGACTAGACTATAGACTAGACTATAGACTAGACTATAGACTAGACTATAGACTAGACTATAGACTAGACTATAGACTAGACTATAGACTAGACTATAGACTAGACTATAGACTAGACTATAGACTAGACTATAGACTAGACTATAGACTAGACTATAGACTAGACTATAGACTAGACTATAGACTAAGACTATAGACTAGACTATAGACTAGACTATAGACTAGACTATAGACTAGACTATAGACTAGACTATAGACTAGACTATAGACTAGACTATAGACTAGACTATAGACTAGACTATAGACTAGACTATAGACTAGACTATAGACTAGACTTTCGTGAAATATTTAATTTTTAGTGGAAATTTTGAATTATAGTAAAAATTTTAATTTTTTCCAGAAAAAAGAAATTTTGAATTTTAATAAAAATTTTAATTTATAATGAAAATTTTAATTTTTAATAAAATTTGAATTTTAATGAAACTTTGAATTTTTAGTGAAAATTTGAATATTAAATAAAAATTTGATTTTTTAAGTAAAATTTGATTTTTTTTGGTAAGATCTAGAATTTTAAGTGAAAATTTAAATTTTTAATAAAAATTTGAATTTTTAGTAAAAATTCGAATTTTGAATAAAAATTTGAATCTAGACTATAAACCACACAACACAACAAAATATTTGACTAAAATTTAACAAAAACTGCTCCAGAGTCTTTGCAATGATGAAATGTCAACAAAAAATAAAAAAACAATTTGCCAACAACAACAACAACAAAAGATGCAACAAGAAAAGAAACAATACAAACCAGAATCGGCAATTAATAGGCATATTCTATGATTAATTTTTAATATTTCATTAAAAACATTTAAAACATATAAAAAACACAAAAACCTTTATACATTAATCTTAATTTCTAATAAGAATCATTAAAATAACTTACATTCTTTGGACGGACAAACTTCTGTCGGCAATTCTGTTGTTTTCTATTTCTGACCAACTTTTTTGCCATTATTTCTTTTTAACATAATAATAAATATTATAAACACTAGTATAAGTAAAGCAAACATTGAATATTATTGTATTAACACTTTAGTAACGTATTTTCTAAATTTAAAACACTATTAAAATTCAATTTTAACACTTTTACTTAGAGAAACGAAAATCTGCTTCTTCACGCGGCAATACAATACAATAAACTAAATAAAGTGGGGTGAGTAACGCTGAACATACCCTTTTATTGACATTAATACACTGGGCAAAATTAGAGGGCCAATAGTTGTAATATTGTAACAGTAAGGAAAGAAAATTTGATTTTTATTAATGTATGTATTAAAATCTAATAGTTTTTGTTAACAAATAAGAAATTTTAAAGTAATCAAGGACACATTTTCGGTATTATTTATAAATAATAAGATTTTTTTGATTAACATTTTTTATATACAAAATCAATTTTTATTATTTGAATGTCATTATTAACAATATAATAATCCTATTTAAACAAAATACACGTCTTTAATTCCGGAAATAAGAAAACACATTATTATCGACTAACTTTTTACATTATTACTGACTGAACATACCTATTACTTAATAAAACAATGTTTAATTCTGGTCGACTATATGCACATCTTTTTTAACAAAAACTGTTACATTTATGCTATTATTTATTAAAATAATGTCTTATAATAATTTTTATGAAATTTTTGTGTAAAATGCTTAATGAAATTCAACCTAAATGCAACTTTATAACGGCAATAAGAAAAATAACATTATTATCTACTAGCGCCACTGCAAATTTGTTTCGGTTTGTTTACATTTTCCCTCACTGAACATACCTCTTTGTTTTTTATTTACAAGCAACTATTTTGCTAAAATCTAATGTTTACGTTTGCTTTTATTTGCAGATTATATTGGTCTTGGATTTTTGTGCATACCTTCATGATTTTGATACTATTATATATTTTATTATAATTATTTAATTAAGGTAAATAAAGTTTGTTTTTACATAAATTAAGGGTTGTAGCAAATAAACAATAAAGTTTATTATAAAAATTTTAAGAAATTTATGTTTCATATTAAAATATTTTAAATCATTTATTAATTATGTTAAATTTCAGTAGTTTTTCATTAAAATTCTTCGTTTCAAAAGAATTTTTATTAAAAAAATAAAGCAAGTTTAATAAATTTAAGGCAAACAGTGACTGGGATTAGGTCCCAGTGTGGGATAAGTACGCAGACGTTGCAATTCCAAAATAGTTTTTAATTCCATAATGTGAACATAATCACGACGTACTGTCTCTATTAAATTACTATGGCGTTTGATTTTCTCCATTCTAATAGAAATACAAAAGTAAAATTCATATTAAAAATTTTAAAAGTTTTGAGAAAAATTTTTACAAGAAAAATTAAAATTTTTAACTCACTTTTCATTTTGCTCTCGTCGCTTCTTTTCTTCAATCATAAAATCTCGATTTGTATGAGCAAATGATACCGCCACTTTAAGATCCTCAATTTGACGATTAATACGTTTATTTGCCAGTTTCTTTTCATCGATTTGTTGACGCACCACTGAAATTTTTTCAGTTCTAGAAAGAATTTTCAACTCTAATTAAATTTTAAAGAATTTTAACCCAAAACTTTTAACTTACAATCTCACTAACTGCCTTCTAAAACCCGTCAATTTCTCTTCGGCCACTTTTTCCAGCAGACCCTCGCTATTAAGTAATTTCTGCTTCTCAGCTTTTACTTTATTCCAATTTCTTAGAATATTCAAAAATTCAATGGAAACTTTACATTTTCCTATAACATACAGCATATTTTTCAAATATTCTATATTCGCGCCAACCACTTTATGTTCCCATTCTTTGTAGATAACCTGACGGCGAAAGAAGGCCACTCTTTGCATGGCCTTTATTTTCATTTGGCCAGCTTTCTAGGGAATTAAAAAAGAAAATTTAGTAAGAGAAAGTTTTTTTTTAATGCTTCAATAAAAACTTTACCAAAATTAAGGCATTAATATCATTTACGTCATCCTCATGCATGAGCACACAATTCTGCAAGTTTTTTAAGGATCCCATGATATTAAGCTCAACTTGACCCATGGTTAATCGCAATTCCAAAGTTTGATTTTGTACTAATTTAAGCTGAGGAATATGATAATGATCTTAATAACTGATTGGAAAAATGTAGCTCAGTTCTAGTTGGAAAAATGTAGTTCAGTTCTAGTTCAGTTCAAGTTCAGTTCTAGTTCAGTTCTAGTTCAGTTCTAGTTCAGTTCTAGTTCAGTTCTAGTTCTAGTTCAGTTCTAGTTCAGTTCTAGTTCAGTTCTAGTTCAGTTCTAGTTCAGTTCTAGTTCAGTTCTAGTTCAGTTCTAGTTCAGTTCTAATTCAGTTCTAGTTCAGTTCTAGTTCAGTTCTAGTTTAGTTCTAGTTCAGTTCTAGTTCAGTTCTAGTTCAGTTCTAGTTCAGTTCTAGTTCAGTTCTAGTTCAGTTCTAGTTTAGTTCTAGTTCAGTTCTAGTTCAGTTCTAGTTCAGTTCTAGTTCAGTTCTAGTCTAGTTCAGTTCTAGTTCAGTTCTAGTTCAGTTCTAGTTCAGTTCTAGTTCAGTTCTAGTTCAGTTCTAGTTCAGTTCTAGTTCAGTTCTAGTTCAGTTCTAGTTTAGTTCTAGTTCAGTTCTAGTTCAGTTCTAGTTCAGTTCTAGTTCAGTTCTAGTTCATTTCTAGTTCAGTTCTAGTTCAGTTCTAGTTCAGTTCTAGTTCAGTTCTAGTTCAGTTCTAGTTCAGTTCTAGTTCAGTTCTAGTTCAGTTCTAGTTCAGTTCTAGTTCAGTTCTAGTTCAGTTCTAGTTTAGTTCTAGTTCAGTTCTAGTTCAGTTCTAGTTCAGTTCTAGTTCAGTTCTAGTTCAGTTCTAGTTCAGTTCTAGTTTAGTTCTAGTTCAGTTCTAGTTCAGTTCTAGTTCAGTTCTAGTTCATTTCTAGTTCAGTTCTAGTTCAGTTCTAGTTCAGTTCTAGTTCATTTCTAGTTCAGTTCTAGTTCAGTTCTAGTTCAGTTCTAGTTCTAGTTCAGTCTAGTTCAGTTCTAGTTCAGTTCTAGTTCAGTTCTAGTTCAGTTCTAGTTCAGTTCTAGTTCAGTTCTAGTTCAGTTCTAGTTCAGTTCTAGTTCTAGTTCAGTTCTAGTTCAGTTCTAGTTCAGTTCTAGTTCAGTTCTAGTTCAGTTCTAGTTCAGTTCTAGTTCAGTTCTAGTTCAGTTCTAGTTCAGTCTAGTTCAGTTCTAGTTCAGTTCTAGTTCAGTTCTAGTTCAGTTCTAGTTCAGTTCTAGTTCAGTTCTAGTTCAGTTCTAGTTCAGTTCTAGTTCAGTTCTAGTTCAGTTCTAGTTCAGTTCTAGTCAGTTCTAGTCAGTTCTAGTTTCAGTTCTAGTTCAGTTCTAGTTCAGTTCTAGTTCAGTTTCTAGTTCAGTTCTAGTTCAGTTCTAGTTCAGTTCTAGTTCAGTTCTAGTTCAGTTCTAGTTCAGTTCTAGTTCAGTTCTAGTTCAGTTTCTAGTTCAGTTCTAGTTCAGTTCTAGTTCAGTTCTAGTTCAGTTCTAGTTCAGTTCTATTCAGTTCTAGTTCAGTTCTAGTTCAGTTCTAGTTCAGTTCTAGTTCAGTTCTAGTTCAGTTCTAGTTCAGTTCTAGTTCAGTTCTACTTTAGTTCTAGTTCAGTTCTAGTTCAGTTCTAGTTCAGTTCTAGTTCAGTTCTAGTTCAGTTCTAGTTCAGTTCTAGTTCAGTTCTAGTTCAGTTCTAGTTCATTTCTAGTTCAGTTAGTCATTTCTAGTTCAGTTCTAGTTCAGTTCTAGTTCAGTTAGCTCAGTTCTAGTTCAGTTCTAGTTCTGTTCTAGTTCAGTTCTAGTTCAGTTCTAGTTCAGTTTCAATTCTATTTCAATTCAGTTTCAGTTTAATTCTAGTTCAGTTCTAGCTATGGTTTAATTTTCTTCCAAAAGTTAAAGTCCAGTTCAGTTCTATTTCACTTACATACTCCTCTTGAGCCTCATGCAATCTTTTCAATGCCTCCACTTTAATACTCTTCAAATTGGACAATTCCCTGCCATACGAATTCATGCCCGAACAACTATCTGCCAGTTGCAAGTTAACAGCTCGTACTTTCAGTTCCATTTCCACCTTTTGTCTGCGCAACTTAACAAATTGTTCCCAATGTTTGGATTCCAAGGAAACGGGTATGTTACCGGTTTCATCTAAACTATTCAAACCATCCAAATATTCATATACATCTTTGGGTAAAGGGAAATTAAATTTAGGTTGTGACTTCGTATTAACACGTAAAGACAGTTCCTTGCAAATCAAAGTAGAGTGCAGAAGTTTGGGTAAACTTTTGGGACGTTTTTTGAATAATTTCGTCATTTCTGGACCCAAATGTTGAGGTATACTATTCAAGAATTGACCTTTAAATAAACGTTCTACGGACTTTTCCTTTAGCAATAAAGAGTCAACTTTTAGGCGTAAATCCTCTACCGACTTGGCCCAAAACTCAGAAAGTTTGGAATATTTGTGCACATATTCCGTTATTAAATCAATGTCCTCCCTTTAAAGAAAACTTTTAATTAATTTTTTTATTTAATTTTACTCGAAATACTAACCTTAACATATTGATCCGCTGTAGCCATTGTAATTTTTTAAAATTCATTATTTTGGTATTTAGGTTTCTTAAACGCACATGTTTTATGGCAAAATCATATTTTAGTTTCAAAATCATCATTTCACTAACGTTTTCATTTAATTTTAAAATATATCCCGTCTTGAGTTCATTGATTTGTGACTCATTTTCCTTTAATATGCTTAAATATTTCTTACGATCTTCTTCCAATAAACGACATTTTTCCTCGTATTCTCTTAAAGCCTTTTGATCTTCTAGAGTATATTCAGCCGGTTCTTTTTTACTTAGAAACTCTGGTATAGGTATATTTTTCTTAATTTCCTCTTCCCATAACTTTTCCAAAACACCATCCATCATGGTAATTAAAGCATGAACCCAAAATTCCACTGACCACAACAGCAAACGTCCCCGTTTAGCAATTTCCACTTCTGCTTTCTTTTTACGCCGATTGACGGCCTTAATTTCGGAGTCATCTACTTCCATTATGCTTTTAACAAATTCATCTTTTTGCCATTCGGGTTTCGATAACTGGGGTGGTTTAAATTGTTCTCTACCCAAAAGTCTCAGCATACAATTCATGTTTTCATATATTTGCATTAGAGTATTATTGGTGGTTAATATGGCTTCCATGAGTTCACTTTTAATTTGTCTGATTTCCTCAAATTTCTTATTGAAATCATATTTCAAACGATCGGTTAAGAGAATCCTTATTTTAGCATCTTGATTATACATTTGATTGGCGGTAACAATATTTACATCCTGCATGGCCAACTCCTCACACATAATGTGTTCATAGGACGAGGAACCCGTTACTTCAAAATAATTTAAATGTTTCTTGGCCTTTAATTCCTTAGTTTCCACCTCCTCTTTAGTATCCTTTCCCTCAATTTCTTCTTGAGTTTCTTCGGCCTCCAAACTTTCCAAATCATAAAATCTATATAATTCATATAGCAAAGCAAATTTATCATTTCTTTTACGTAGACCATAATTTTCCAAAGAAAACTTTGAGAATATGGCTCGTATTTTAAAACTAATGCCACTATTTGTGGACATTATAATAAAATAAAACCAATCTCTTATCCGACTTTGATCTTCTATGGCGGCCTCCAAAGATCGGCGTTCAGCTTCACATAGTTTTTCTGCTTCTTTTATGAGTTGCCTCAGCCATTTGTGATTTAAACAGAATTTCTTAAATATACCCTGAGACTTGCCCGTCACCGACATGTCATAATCGATGAGATCTGTCACTTCTTTGCCGAGTTCTCTAATATTTTGCAAAAGTTTTTTTCGCTTTTGTTTTTCTTCTTCTGAATGTTCGATAACAACTTCAGCAGTTACTTGATTTATGGTTTGCGTTGAGCTTAGATGGGGTTCTACGATAAGAGGGGTGTCCTCATCGAATTGATTTTCAATGGTGGGTATTCCGGTAGATGCTACACGCATTACTTTGATGCCGCCCAAAGAGTACATGTAGACCAGATATCTGGGAAAGAAATAAAACGAAAAACTGTGAAGGACTGAACGGAACTAGAACTGAACTAGAACTGAACTAGAACTGAACTAGAACTGAACTAGAACTGAACTAGAACTGAACTAGAACTGAACTAGAACTGAACTAGAACTGAACTAGAACTGAACTAGAACTGAACTAGAACTGAACTAGAACTGAACTAGAACTGAACTAGAACTGAACTAGAACTGAACTAGAACTGAACTAGAACTGAACTAGAACTGAACTAGAACTAAACTAGAACTGAACTAGAACTGAACTAGAACTGAACTAGAACTGAACTAGAACTGAACTAGAACTGAACTAGAACTGAACTAGAACTGAACTAGAACTGAACTAGAACTGAACTAGAACTGAACTAGAACTGAACTAGAACTGAACTAGAACTGAACTAGAACTGAACTAGAACTGAACTAGAACTGAACTAGAACTGAACTAGAACTGAACTAGAACTGAACTAGAACTGAACTAGAACTGAACTAGAACTGAACTAGAACTGAACTAGAACTGAACTAGAACTGAACTAGAACTGAACTAGAACTGAACTAGAACTGAACTAGAACTGAACTAGAACTGAACTAGAACTGAACTAGAACTGAACTAGAACTGAACTAGAACTGAACTAGAACTGAACTAGAACTGAACTAGAACTGAACTAGAACTGAACTAGAACTGAACTAGAACTGAACTAGAACTGAACTAGAACTGAACTAGAACTGAACTAGAACTGAACTAGAACTGAACTAGAACTGAACTAGAACTGAACTAGAACTGAACTAGAACTGAACTAGAACTGAACTAGAATTGAACTAGAACTGAACTAGAACTGAACTAGAACTGAACTAGAACTGAACTAGAACTGAACTAGAATTGAACTAGAACTGAACTAGAACTGAACTAGAACTGAACTAGAACTGAACTAGAACTGAACTAGAACTGAACTAGAACTGAACTAGAACTGAACTAGAACTGAACTAGAACTGCACTAGAACTCAACTAGAACTCAACTTAGAACTGAACTAGAACTGATCTAGAACTGAATAGAACTAGATCTAAATTAGATCCTAAAATCGTGTTTTTAAACTAATAAATTTTTACTTACTTGACATTAAAACAATCCAGAACTTTCTGCACCACTCTAGGCCTATATTTAATCTGCAGTATTTGACATATACCATACGGCTTTGGCGATTTCTTATGCGAACGATAATGGATATAAGTACCATCAACACCCCATGTCAAAAGATTTCGGGAACTAATGATACCGTTAATGCTAGACAAGTGATGGGTTTGAATAGAATGGACTAAAACTAACACATTGGTATCCGTTTTATATTGTAAATAATCCATAACATTAGATTCCAAACGTATGGCAAAAAATTCTACGATATTTTTCGTTGGTACCGTCACTTCGCCCACATCACGGTAAGTGTGGGGTAATTGGTATTCTAAAATATTAAGTTTCTTGCTCTCGGGCAGCCAGTGATAACAACTCAGAGTATTGCAATGCGGCAATTTTATTTGAGAATCCCGATTGATGAACATAAAAATTCGATTATTTTCTCCAAGAAAATATTGACAGATGCCGTCGTTTTCGCTAATATGTTGAAAGGGTCCAATTTCGTAGAATGAATTGTGAGTAAAATCGGTTTTCAGCAAATAAAAATCATAGTAAATGGTGCGATATACCGCCAATTGATCCATTAGTTGTAATGAACCTATAGCATAACCTTGATGGGTATCGATGCTGCTCAACTGAAAAGGTTCTTTAATATTTGAGTAATTAAGGAAATGGATTTTCCCCCTTGAAGTGCCCACCATGATAAAGGGACCCAGATTATGGGCCACCAAGGTATTAGCAAAAGGCACTACAAATTTGGAATACTCTGCATAACGTGACATTTGAAGAGCTTTTATGGCGTGATCCGTAGTTAATTGTATTAAACATTCCTCTTTCACTCCCTTTAGAAGCACAAAATCTATGCTATTCTCATGGTAAACATTAACTGGATTTAGTTTAACCTCCTCCGTTGCCTCTATATGATAAAGGTTACCTATAGCAGCTGAGGCATAAATTTCACCATTACTATTAGATATACATTTACGTAGACCTTTTTGGGGCATTATATTATGGGAAAGCTTCCACTCACAGTGCCATTTGCTGAGTTTTTTGCGCAAATAATAAACAATTTCATTACTATAAACCAAAAGTCCCTGTTTATGACATTCTAGATAAAAACTCTTAAACTGAGTAGACATTTCCAAAGGATCTGTTACAGACCATTGCGGTTTTAAATGAAATTGCGCCACTTCCACCTGTAAATAATAATACATTTCTTCATAAGGTTTTAAAAGATATATCGATCTGTAATTACCATCGAAACATTGGCAAAATTATCCACCACATATAAGTTATTATCCTCACCATAACACATGCTATTTATATCGCTCAAGGTAAACTCTTTGCTCAACTCAATTTTGGACACCTCATGCAAATCTACTCCGGTGGAAGAATAACATAATTCCCATATTAATATCTCACGATTCCATTTGGAAAATTGTACTATATCTGGTATATGATGGAAGGAACATAAAAGGGACTTCGGTAATGATTCTTTAAGGGTGTCATGCTGTACCAGTAATTGACCCGTACGAAAATTCCATATACACAAAGTGTAGTAAGGATAACCAGAGATTGCTATTAATAAATCGTATTCGTTGAAACGTATATCCACAAAGGAAATGATTTTTTGGGCTGGAAAGAGTTGCAATCAAAATTTTGAAAATTTTATCACAAGTTTTGTTTAAAAGACTTCACAAAGATTAGTTCCACTTCAGTTCTAGTTCAGTTCTATTTTAGTTCAGTTCTAGTTCAGTTCTAGTTCAGTTCCAGTTCAGTTCTAGTTCAGTTCTAGTTCAGTTCTAGTTCAGTTCTAGTTCAGTTCTAGTTCAGTTCTAGTTCAGTTCTAGTTCAGTTCTAGTTCAGTTCTAGTTCAGTTCTAGTTCAGTTCTAGTTCAGTTCTAGTTCAGCTCTAGTTCAGTTCTAGTTCAGTTCTAGTTCAGTTCTAGTTCAGTTCTAGTTCAGTTCTAGTTCAGTTCTAGTTCAGTTCTAGTTCAGTTCTAGTTCAGTTCTAGTTCAGTTCTAGTTTAGTTCTAGTTGAGTTCTAGTTCAGTTCTAGTTCAGTTCTAGTTCAGTTCTAGTTCAGTTCTAGTTCAGTTCTAGTTCAGTTCTAGTTCAGTTCTAGTTCAGTTCTAGTTCAGTTCTAGTTCAGTTCTAGTTCAGTTCTAGTTCAGTTCTAGTTCAGTTCTAGTTCAGTTCTAGTTCAGTTCTAGTTCAGTTCTAGTTCAGTTCTAGTTCAGTTCTAGTTCAGTTCTAGTCTAGTTCAGTTCTAGTTCAGTTCTAGTTCAGTTCTAGTTCAGTTCTAGTTCAGTTCTAGTTCAGTTCTAGTTCAGTTCTAGTTCAGTTCTAGTTCAGTTCTAGTTCAGTTCTAGTTCAGTTCTAGTTCAGTTCTAGTTCAGTTCTAGTTCAATTCTAGTTCAGTTCTAGTTTAGTTCAAGTTCAGTTCGAGTTCAGTTCTAGTTCAGTTCTAGTTCAGTTCTATTTCAGTTCTAGTTCAGTTCTAGTTCAGTTCTAGTTCAGTTCTAGTTCAGTTCTAGTTCAGTTCTAGTTCAGTTCTAGTTCTGTTCTAGTTCAGTTCTAGTTCAGTTCTAGTTCAGTTCTAGTTCAGTTCTAGTTCTAGTTCTAGTTCAGTTCTAGTTCAGTTCTAGTTCAGTTCTAGTTCAGTTCTAGTTTAGTTCGTGTTCAGTTCTAGTTTAGTTCTAGTTCAGTTCTAGTTCAGTTCTGGTTCAGTTCTAGTTCTGTTTTAGTTCAGTTCTAGTTCAATCCACAAAGTTTTCTTCAAAGAACTTTACAAGTTTTCTTAGGAAACTATTCAAGTTTTCTTTAAAAAACTGTTCAACTTGCTTCTCAAAGTTTTCTTTACAAGATGTTTTCTCTGGAACTTTCACTCACTACTAAACACAGCATATTTAGTAAAATCTGGATATTGTATTATATGAACTGAAGGTCTTAAAACAACTTCAGAAAATGCCACCAATGAGAATTTATTATGACCCGTCATGGCGGAAATACTTAAACCCAATTGGGGACTTTCAGCTTTGTAATAGGATATAGATTTCGTTTTTAAATCGGTAAAACATAAATTATTATCGCACAACATGCAAACAGCCTCAGAGCCCACATTAACCAGAGTAGAGGGTACCGCAAACGAAGTCCAGCTGTAGAATAAAACAAGTTAGAAATTATAAAATGTAAAAGAATTATTAAGTTTAATTAAACTTACGACACAGTTGAGACCATTTTGTTTTATATTATTCAAGGAAAAAAGGTAAAATATTTGGTATGTTATTATTAAACTATTGTTTAGTTTTTCTTAACAAATTTTTAAAATTGTTTCTTTTCAGTAGATTTCTTTTTAATTGTTTGAAAGGAATTCATTTCAATTGCCTGGTTACCAAGGTAAATAAATAAATAATTTCGAAATTGTTTTTGAAACCGTCTATAGTAAAAAGCATGTGGAAAGTTCATGGATCCGTTATTAACCTTTTTCTTTAAATTAATAAAATGTTTATTTAAAATAGATTTTTTACACTTACAACACAAACTTTATATATAAATATTTTAAATAACTTAATACCTAAAACTAATTTTACTTAATTAAACTAAAATCATTATACGATTCCGTATAATAAGCCCAAGAACTATTTTTATTTTCCTTCAGCCAACATATGGGATTTTTAACGGGATGTTTTCTATAATAATCGTAAATTGTAATAAATAACATATTTAAAAACTCTTCTTTGGCATTTAAACGATAACAATAACTTGTATTTTCTTTAAAATCACTATTTCCGACTAAAAATTCTTGTTGTTCCTCATTTATCAGTTGGTCTTTTTGTAACTCAATATTCACCAGCAATTCCATATCACTTAAATCGTATGTTGGCGTTTTAATGTTGTCCAATTTCTGTCCCTTGATTTCATCTTTTAATTTACGATTAAATTCTCCACGATAATAATCGTTGATCATGCTGATAAGACCCTTAGAATACCAGTAGATAATGCCCATGAGCAATACGCCCTGCATAAAGGGACCCACCATTTTTGCTTAGATTTATTTATATTTAATTTTCTTTTGAGTTTATTCTTCTGCAAAAGTTTCCAACCATTCCCATAACCAGTAACATTGAGCTTTGAAATGAGGCCAAGCCATGGTAACAATCACCATTATCGTATTGGCGAATACAAAGATTTTCATCATTTCAACACCTGTAAGACAAATTTAATAATAGTTTTAAAATTAATTTAAAAGTAGTTCTAATTCAGTTCTAGTTCTGTTCCAGGTCTTTTCTAGTTCAGTTCTAGTTCAGTTCTAGTTCAGTTCTAGTTCAGTTCTAGTTCAGTTCTAGTTCAGTTCTAGTTCAGTTCTAGTTCAGTTCTAGTTCAGTTCTAGTTCAGTTCTAGTTCAGTTCTAGTTCAGTTCTAGTTCAGTTCTAGTTCAGTTCTAGTTCAGTTCTAGTTCAGTTCTAGTTCAGTTTTAGTTCAGTTCTAGTTCAGTTCTAGTTCAGTTCTAGTTCAGTTCTAGTTCAGTTCTAGTTCAGTTCTAGTTCAGTTCTAGTTCAGTTCTAGTTCAGTTCTAGTTCAGTTCTAGTTCAGTTCTAGTTCAGTTCTAGTTCAGTTCTAGTTCAGTTCTAGTTCAGTTCTAGTTCAGTTCTAGTTCAGTTCTAGTTCAGTTCTAGTTCAGTTCTAGTTCTGTTCTAGTTCTAGTTCTGTTCTAGTTCTGTTCTAGTTCTGTTCTAGTTCTGTTCTAGTTCTGTTCTGTTCTAGTTCTGTTCTAGTTCTGTTCTAGTTCTGTTCTAGTTCTGTTCTGTTCTAGTTCTGTTCTAGTTCTGTTCTAGTTCTGTTCTAGTTCTGTTCTGTTCTAGATCTGTTCTAGATCTGTTCTAGTTCTGTTCTAGTTCTGTTCTAGTTCTGTTCTAGTTCTGTTCTAGTTCTGTTCTAGTTCTGTTCTAGTTCTGTTCTAGTTCTGTTCTAGTTCTGTTCTAGTTCTGTTCTAATTCTGTTCTAGTTCTGTTCTAGTTCTGTTCTAGTTCTGTTCTAGTTCAGTTCTAGTTCTGTTCTAGTTCTGTTCTAGTTCTGTCCTAGTTCTGTTTTAGTTCTGTTCTAGTTCTGTTCTAGTTCTATTCTATTTCTGTTCTAGTTCTGTTCTAGTTCAGTTCTAGTTCTGTTCTAGTTCTGTTCTAGTTCTCTTCTAGTTCTGTTCTAGTTCTGTTCTAGTTCTGTTCTAGTTCTGTTCTAGTTATGTTTAGTTCTGTTCAAGTTCTGTTCTAGTTCTGGTCTAGTTCTATTCTAGTTCTGTTCTAGTTCTGTTCTAGTTCTGGTCTAGTTCTGTTCTAGTTCTGTTCTAGTTCTGTTCTAGTTCTGTTCTAGATCTGTTCTAGTTCTGTTCTAGTTCTGTTCTAGTTCAGCTCTAGTTCTGTTCTAGTTCTGTTCCAGTTCTGTTCCAGTTCTGTTCTATTTCTGTTCTATTTCTGTTCTAGTTCTGTTCTAGTTCTGTTCTAGTTCTGTTCTAGTTCTGTTCCATTTCTGTTCTAGTTCTGTTCTACTTCTGTTCTATTTCTGTTCTAGTTCTGTTCTAGTTCTGTTCTAGTTCTGTTCCATTTCTGTTCTAGTTCTGTTCTACTTCTGTTCTATTTCTGTTCTAGTTCTGTTCTAGTTCTGATTTAGTCCCGTTCTAGTTCTGTTCTAGTTCTGTTCTAGTTCTGTTCTAGTTCTGTTCTAGTTCTGTTCTAGTTCTGTTCTAGTTCTATTCTAGTTCTATTCTATTTCTGTTCTAGTTCCGTTCTAGTAATCACCAGTTAAACAAACTATTACTTACCCTCATTTGATCTCAAGTAATTACCAAAGCCCGAATTCAAATCATTATCTTGTTCCTCCACTGGTGGTTTATCAGTTTCTTTGTCAACTAGCTTTTTGTTCTTTTTACTAACGGAGCCGGTAGATTCCGATGATTTTACGGGTTTATTACTATTGGATTTATGCGTATTGGTATTATGACGTTTACTATAACCTGTAGACGAATTGGCAAAAGCGCCCTTTTTCGATTTCATTCTAAATCTACCACCATAGATTAAAAAATGTTATATTTATTATTGTTTAAAAAAAATTATTGAAATGTTTGCCTGAGGACAGCTAATAAACAACTAAATTAAAATTAAGTTAAACCTAATGAAAACTTTGAAATATATTTGAAAATTGTTTGTTAAGAATGACAGAGGGATTTATAAGGTTTCATACAAATCGATTTCTTGTTTGTTCAGGTAATTGTGTTAGGGCTGCTTGAATGACTTTTTAACCTACATTCTTTTCGTGGAATAGTATTTAAAACTCGGTTATATTTATTTTATAATTTTTATTTATTTTATGGTCTTTTTTATTGGTTTGTTAAATATGTTTTTTTTTTTAGATTTTAGTATCATCTAATAGTTGAAGTATTTCCAATATACTTTCACTTATTATTCTGGTATATCATTTCAAAAATATCTATTGTTAATCTAATTATTATATGTTATTATTAAATATTATTGTTATTAAATATGTTTATTTGCTTTCTAAATTGTTCTTATTTTTAAGTAATTAACAATGTTTTAGAACAAAATTTTATATTAATTTATAGTTTTGTTTTTCAAAAAATGCTGTGTTTTGTTTTAAACTAAAAATGCTTAGTTTTGGGATACTACACCATTTCCAAATCTTTGAAATATTACTTTCTCTTTTTTTAAGCACTAGTATTAAAGGGATCCGATTCAATACTTTAGTCTGATATTTTATTTAAAACCCCCTAAATGTTGGTGTTTTTTTTTTAAATTCCAATCCGAGGCACTGAATCGTTGGATTTAACACAACACAACGTACTAACCTTTCAAATCACAACCATAAAATAATAGTTAAGGAAAATTTGGGATAAAGAAATGTATAAGAGAATATGTACCAGTCTAAGAACTACTTTACTAACTGATTTATGGACTAGTTTATTGGCTAGTTTTTGTGCATTGACTAGTCTATAGACTTGTTTATGACAGAGTTTATCGACTTGTCTATGGACTAGTCTATTGCCTTGTCCATAGACTAGTCTATAGACTTTTTTATTTAGTAGTCTAATGACTTGTCTATAGACTAGTCTAATGACTTGTCTATAGACTAGTCTATGGACTTGCCTAAAGACTAGTCTATCGATTTGTCTATGAACTAGTCTATTGACTTGTCTGATGATTAGTCTACCGACTATTCTATAGACTTCTCTATGGAGTAGTCTAATGACTTGTCTATATACTAGTCTATTGACTTGTCTACTGAACAGTCTATGGAGTAGTCAATGACTTTTCTATGGACTAGTCTATTGACTTGTATGTAGACAAGTCTATCGACTTGTATGTAAACTAGTCTATGGACCAGTCTATTGACTTGTCTATGGCTACTCTATTAACTTGTCAATGGATGAGTCTATTGACTTGCCTATAAACTAGTCCATTGACTTGTCTTTCGACGAGTCTATTGATTTGTCTAAAGACTAGTCTATCGATCTGTCCATGAACTAATCTACCGATTAGTCTGTTGACTTGTCTGTAGACCAGTGTATCGACTAGTCTGTGGACTATTCTATGGACTATCAATTGTCTGTCGATTAGTGTATTGACTTGTCTATGTACTAGTTTATTGATTTGTCTGTAGACTAGTCAAATAACTTTTCTATGGACTAGTCTATTGACTTGTCTAAAGACTAGTCTATCGAGTTGTCTATGGACTAGTCTATTGACTAGTCTATGGACTTGTCTAAAGACTAGTCTATCGAGTTGTCTATGGATTAGTCTGTTGACTTGTCTGTAGACCAGTCTAACGATTATGGAGTAGTCTAATGACTTGTCTATGGAGTAGTCTAATGACTTGTCTATAAACTAGTCTATTGACTTATGTATCTACGGAACTGTCTATATACATGTCTATGGAGAAACTTATTGCCTTGTGTATGGACTAGTCTAGAGATGAGTCCATTGACTTGTCTGTGGACTAGTCCATGGACTATCAATTGTCTGTCGATTAGTTTATTGACTTGTCTATATCAGTCTATCGACTTATCTATGGACTAGTCTAAATCGTGGGGTTTCCTAAATCAAATTCAACTGTTATATGATTTCAAAATGTTTTAGACCAGTTTTAGTGAAATTTCTCTTAAACAAAACAAGATTTTCTATTAAAAAAATAAAATGAAAAGTATTCAAATTATTAATACATAAATTTTATTTTAATTGCAAACTAATTAGTTGTATATATACACAAAAAAAGGAATAAAAGGAAAATACAATTAATAATTAAAACAAAAGAAAAGTAAACTAAATAATAAACAAAAAGAGGGAATACTATAAAACAAATTACGCTCACAAAATTAGCAAAGTCTTTTAGAGGAAAAAGCCATGGGAAAAAAGGAAGGACAGAAAGGTTTACACATATAAATTACGATAATACTAATACAAAAGAAAACTAAACATAAATAACTAATAGATAGCAGTTATATATATTTAAATATATAGTTTATATATAAATAAAGTATATTTGTATATAATATAATAATAATATGTATGTATGTATGTATGTAGGTTAAATATAAGAATATGTAAATGTTGCTTTTTGTTTCGTTTTAAATATTCTACTTATACTTTTTTTTTTAATATAAGCAGTTGATATAATTTATTAAGTTTTTCTTTATATTTTGTTATTAATTAAATGATATGACTAAATAATAATTATGTTTAATAAAAAAATTATGTTTTAAAATGAATATTGTGTTTATTTATAGCACTTTTTCTTAAAGCATTCAAATAGTTATTTATATTAATTAATTAAGTTAAAGTTAGAAAGTTATGGGGAAAAAAAGGAAAAAAATGCTTAATAGAAATGCCAATAATTATGACAAGAGTTTTTTCATGTCTTTTTTTTTTTTAGTTTATACTTTTTCTCTTTTTAAGTAATTATTATATTTTTTTAAATTTTAAGATGTGCGTTTTTTGTTTAAAATAATTGTTTTTAACATAAACAAATGGTTTAACTTTATAAGTAATTTAAATTGGTTTAAGGTTTTATTTATATGTACATACATTAAAGGAACATGAGGATTTTTTTTTTTTTTTTTGGGATAAAAATAATAAAAAGTTTTAATTTTAAAAACAATATAATAAAAAAAAGCTTTAGGTGAAAGTTTTTAAAAAACACTAAAGAGTCTTATGGAAAAAATATGATAAATTAAGTAAATTGTTTTTTATAAAGAAAAAAAGGATACACACATTTTAAAAAAGCAGGATTTTGGATTCTTTAAATAAAAAGAGAGATTAAAGGTTTCTTAAAAAGTTTCGTTTTTAATGGGTACTTAAAAAAGTACTTTTTTAGAAACATTACATTCAGGAAAAGTACTTTTTCGTTTTTATAAAAGATTTTCCATCTATTCATCGATAACATTTTCTAGAAAACTTATCGATAAAAATAATTTTTTACAACATATTATCGAAGAACATTTTTCATAAATTTATCGATAATAACATTAATTTCATACCAAATTTTTTAAAATTTAAAATTTTTTTTCTTTAACATAAAACTTTTATAAAAAATTTAAAAAATCTAAAAAAAACTTTTTTAAATTTTTCGATAACATTAAGTTTTTAAAGAAAATTTATCGATAACTTGTCATTTCTATTAAAAATTTATCAAATTTAACGATAACATAAAATTTTTCAAGCTATTCATGGATAGCTTTATTTTTCTCTAGAAAACTTATCGATAACATAATTTTTTTATAAAAAATTTATCGATAACATTAAAATTTTATAAAAATTTTCATATATTTATCGATAACATATAAATTTAGGACAAATTTTCATAAATTTCTCGATAACGAAAAACTGTTTTAAAAAAATTTAACAAATTTATCGATAACATTAATTTTCTTTCAAAATTTTATCAAATTTATCGAGAATACAACTTTATTATAAAATTTATTTTTATTCACAATATAAAATTACTTTTGAAACTTTTTCATATTCATCGATAACATTCCATTTCAAAAGAAAATCTATCGATAACTTTTATTTGCTATTAAAAAATTATTAAATTTATCGATAACATAAAATTACTTAAGAAACTTTATCAAAAGCATTAAAGAAAACTTATCGATAACTTCAAACTTCTGTCAATAACATAAAAACCTCATCGTTTACATTAAAAAGAAAAAAATTCGATAATTTAAAATTTCTGCCGAAAAAAGTTATAAATTTTATCGATAACATCAAGAATTTCATAGAAATTTATCGAAAACTTTACCTTTATATAGAAAATTTATCAAATTATCGATAACGAATATATATTTTATAAAAAATCTATCGATAAGCTAAAATTTTAAAAAAATATTTACATTTATCGAAAACATAAAATTTCAAAAAAATAAAATTTCTAAAGAAAATTGATAAAATTTATCGATAACATAAAATTTCTATAGAAAATTTTTAAAATTTATCGATAACATGAAACTTATATAAAAAATATCGATAAAAATCAATTTTAACAAAAAAAAATTATAAAATTCACGAACAAAATACAATTTTGTAGACAATTTATCGATAACACAGATTTATTAAAGAAGTTATCGATAACTTAAAATTTCTTTAGAAAATCAAAAAATTTCTAGAGAAAATTGATAAAATTTATCGATAACATCAAATTTCTATAGAAAATTTGTAAAATTTTTCGATAACATAAAATTTAAAAAAAAAATATAGATTAAAACCAAATTTTCATAGAAATTTCATCAAATTAATGAACAAAATAAAAATTCTTTAGAAAATGTATCGATTACACAATTTTATTTATGAAAAATTATCGATAACTTGAAATTTCTATAGAAAATTTTTAGAGATCACCGATAACATAAAATTTCTAAAAAAATTAAGTATATCAATAAGAAAACTTTTTTGAAAATCTATTTAATACTTTCCATAAAAATTTTATAGAAAATTTATCGGTAAAAATCAATTTCAATAGAAAATTTATCAAATTCCTGAACAAAGTTATCGATAACTAAAGAAAATATGTCCAATAACAAAACATTTCTAAAAAAATTATCAAATTTATCGATAATAAAAGATTTTCTTTAGAAAATACTTCCGATAACATAAAAATTGTATAGAAAATTTATCGATAATAAATAATTTGAATTAAAAATTCAATAAAGAAAATAAATATTTATCAAACCCAAAATTTTTATAGAAAATTTAAAATTTCTTTAAAGCATTTTCGATAACTTTAAATTTTCATAAGAAATTTATCGATAACATACTAATTCTATAAAAACATATCGATATTATGAACTTTTTCTAGAAAATTTAGTAAAAAGTACTTTTTTAATAAAACCTTAACCATTCAAGTTTCTTTTTCTTCAATCTCTCTCTTCTCAACTAATTCCTTAACAAATCCTGCCTTTTTTCAAAACCTAAAATAATTTTTCAAAAAAATCTCCTTTGCAAAACAAAGTTAAGCACACACACACACTCAAAACTTAACACACAAACACGCTTAAAACAAGCATTCCAAACTCAACACTTCATTTTTGAAAATGAAATCATTCACTTAGTTTTTTCGCACTTGTAGGCGGGGGAGGAGCAGGCACTGTAGGTCGTTTAGGTGTCATAATCATATTGGGCGATACCGGAGTTGTGGGGGTGGTCAAGCGTATCTCTAATGGTTTATCTGTGTTGTTAGTATTAGTTGTCATAACTTTTGCCACTGTTACAGCCGGAGGAGGAGGTATGACGGGAGGTGGTGCAGTCATAGCATTAGCATTCACTTCCAAATTGCCCTGATTATTAGTAGTATGATTTGCAGTTGTTGTTGTCTGTAGATTTAAATGATTATTATGATTGGTTTCTTTAAGTATAGCTGAGGGTATCGAGGTATTACTGCTGCCAATATTGGCCTGTAAAGCGGTAACATTATCACAATGTTCTTGAACCAATTGTTCGGCAGTTTTATGACCACGTAATGAACCATTTGTAGCAGTACAGCAATCACTGGTATTTTGACTGTTATTAGTGGGAGTGGATTCCTCATCACTTTTACTGTTTATACCGGAACCAGTGCCTCCGGCAGTTGTTGTTGACAAACCTAAAACCATGGGTCGTTTGGGTATTTTTGGTTTTTGTGGGAGATCTGGTTTAAAGTTGAGAGAACTAACACTATCATTACTCTTGCGATCTGCAGTGGGTGAGGGTAAATTATCCAAACCGAAAAATTGTGTACGTGTCATGGGTACAGGTTTGGCGGAAATGGGAGGATGTGTTGTATTAGTTGTGGTCGTTGTATTTGTTTCGTTTTGATTCGTTTGTTGCTGCTGTTGTTGGAGGAGCAGTTGTTTAGGTAAGGGAGGAATTTCAGGTTTTTCTATATGGCCGCCTGCTGAGCTACTATTGTTGTTATTATTAGTTACCGCTTGTGTAATAGTTGTATTATTTGAGGGAAATAATTCTTTAGCTCTTTGGTGGTTGTTATGCTGTAGTTCTCCATTGTTTTTAATCGTTTCATTTGTAGTTGAACCATTTGGATCAGAGCTAACAACAATATTTTGCGGTTTTGCAGGTGGTGAAGGAGCACAGGGCTTTTGACGTCTTATGGTGCCATAGCGGGGACTATCAGAGATATCTTGAAAGCAAAATAGAAAAGTTTATATAAGTTCTCTAGGAAATATATTCCATTAACACTCACCTATATCATGACGATCTAAATTCTCATTCGAAGAATTCGATTTACTTTTATCCTCCACAAACAGTTTGCCACGCTGTAAAGTGACAAAGAAATCCACCTCACCCTCAAAGAAATAATCCCATTGACTTATCAACAGCTCCACAATGATATTCACAGCCGATGAACTATTCACCTGACCCATATAATCGGCTGGATTGTTTTTATCCACACGTGGCCATAACATATTCGGTGACATGACTATGGCCAAGTTGTGTGAAGACATTTTATTGCAATCCACATTCTGGGTAACCAACCATAGGAATTTGGTTAAATAACGTAAATTTAAATAATTAGAAGTGGGCAGTTTGGCCAAAGTGTTTTTAATCTCAATTTTACGTTCCTCTTCGGAGTTTTTCTCTACCGCTTTAAGAAAATCTTTATAGCACTTAAAGGTCAATAAAGGTTCGGGTAATTCCCGCAAATACAACTTTAAAATAGAACCAATGACATGAGGATCTTGATAATCCAAGGGCAGAGGAGTCTTAACATATTGGGCCTCTAAAGCATGTTTCATGCGTCTCAATTTAGTGCTAGCACAACCCACACGCAATAAACCCTCCTCGCTCAAACCATTCTCCACCAAACAGCAGACACATAACTCTATAATATAAGATATTTCACGATTTGTGGAATCCAAGTGATCCGTTAGCGAAGTGCCAAAACGTGATTTCACTGTGGATTGTATGATATCTTGTATATTGGCCAAGGAGCTGTTGACCTTTTGTAAAGCACGCTCATGATAGTTTCTTTGGTTGAGTACATAATCTCGTATGCATTGAACAATAACATCCTCTTTGGCGATCAATTCAAACATTTGAGCAGCCCATGAGTCACGCTCTTTTTCCAATTTAATCTCACATTGTTCCTGTTGATCTTTAATATGATTGATTTTCGCCTGTGGCTCATCTAAACGTATGGCAGCCTAAAATTAGTGCAAGAGAAAAAAAATCAATCAATAGTTTTAATAGTTTGCAAAAGTATTTGCGGAAATTTTGTTTTATTATTTATTTATAAATACAAACATGTAAATACGTGTTGTGTTTTGCAGTTATGACTACATTTGTGTTATATTGATTAGTTATTTATTTTTGCTCTAACAAATGTACAGCATGTTTATGACCTAATAAACCAATTTCCTTTACGTTTAGTCATGTCTAAATAGACAACTGCAGTTAGTTTTCTTTTTAAAAATGAAGAAATTATTGTCATTTTCTGTTTTTGTTTGTTTTAATTGCAAATACTTGTAGACTTTTGAAATTTATTAGATAAAGACAAATCTTATCATTAAAACGTACATTTACTTTTTTTGTGTTTCGTATAAACACCCTAATTTGAAGTAGAGGTGCAGTCATTTCGTCAGTTCATTTGTAACGTACAAGGAATTATTCATTTTGTTCGCTAAAGGAGGGGTAATTATTCCAGGGTTATCTATTTAATAAAAATTTCATGGTCATTTTGAAGTCATATTCAGAGAACTTATGAGATTATAAATTTTTAAAATAAAAATGAATTTAATAATGACATAAACATTCAACTAAACCAGAACTGAACTAGTACCTGAGCCAATACTAAACTAGTACTGAACTAGAACTGAACTGAACTAGAACTGAAACTAGACTGAACTAGAAACTGAACTAGAAAAACTGAAACTAGAACTGAACTAGAACTGAACTGAACTGAACTAGACTGAACTAGAAAATGAACTAGAACTGAACTAGAAACTGAACTAGAACGGAAATAGAACTGAACTAGAACTGAAAATTAGAACTGAACTAGAACTGAACTAGAACTGAACTAGAATGAACTAGAAATGAACAGAACTGAACTAGAACTGAACTAGAACTGAATAGAACTGAACTAGACGAACTAGAATGAACTAGACTGAAACTAGAACTGAACTTAGAACTGAACTAGACCTGAACCAGAAAACTGAACTAGAAACGAACTATAACTGAACTAGAAAACTGAACTAGAACTGAATAGAAACTGAACTAGAACTGAACTAGAACTGAACTAGAACTGAACTAGAACTGAACTAGAACTGAACTAGAACTGAACTAGAACTGAACTAGAACTGAACTAGAACTGAACTAGAACTGAACTAGAACTGAACTAGAACTGAACTAGAACTGAACTAGAACTAGAACTGAACTAGAACTGAACTAGAACTGAACTAGAACTGAACTAGAACTGAACTAGAACTGAACTAGAACTGAACTAGAACTGAACTAGAACTGAACTAGAACTGAACTAGAACTGAACTAGAACTGAACTAGAACTGAACTAGAACTGAACTAGAACTGAACTAGAACTGAACTAGAACTGAACTAGAACTGAACTAGAACTGAACTAGAACTGAACTAGAACTGAACTAGAACTGAACTAGAACTGAACTAGAACTGAACTAGAACTGAACTAGAACTGAACTAGAACTGAACTAGAACTGAACTAGAACTGAACTAGAACTGAACTAGAACTGAACTAGAACTGAACTAGAACTGAACTAGAACTGAACTAGAACTGAACTAGAACTGAACTAGAACTGAACTAGAACTGAACTAGAACTGAACTAGAACTGAACTAGAACTGAACTAGAACTAGAACTGAACTAGAACTGACTAGAAACTGAACTAGAACTGAACTAGAACTGAACTAGAACTGAACTAGAACTGAACTAGAACGAACTAGAACGAATAGAACTGAACTAACTGAACTAGAACTGAACTAACTGAACTAGAACTGAACTAGAACTGAACTAGAACTGAACTAGAACTGAACTAGAACTGAACTAAACTGAACTAGAACTGAACTAGAACTGAACTAGAACTGAACTAGAACTGAACTAGAACTGAACTAGAACTGAACTAGAACTGAACTAGAACTGAACTAGAACTGAACTAGAACTGAACTAGAACTGAACTAGAACTGAACTAGAACTGAACTAGAACTGAACTAGAACTGAACTAGACTGAACTAGAACTGAACTAGAACTGAACTAGAACTGAACTAGAACTGAACTAGAACTGAACTAGAACTGAACTAGAACTGAACTAGAACTGAACTAGAACTGAACTAGAACTGAACTAGAACTGAACTAGAACTGAACTAGAACTGAACTAGAACTGAACTAGAACTGAACTAGAACTGAACTAGAACTGAACTAGAACTGAACTAGAACTGAACTAGAACTGAACTAGAACTGAACTAGAACTGAACTAGAACTGAACTGGAACTGAACTAGAACTGAACTAGAACTGAACTAGAACTGAACAATACATGAACTTGAAGAACAATAAAGTTCGTGACGAAAATTCGAGTTTTTTGTCAATTAAATATTTGCTGCAGTTGTCATAACAATTAAAAATTCTGGATAGTTTCTTTTAATAATATGTATCAGACATATCATGTCATGCTAGTAGTAAGTAGGGTGTGTGTATATACATACATGCATAAATCCGTCATTGTCAAAAGTTTATCTATAATCAGTAATTTATTTTATTATTTATGCTTTCTTATTATTATTAATTTAAATTTGTCTTATTTTTTTTTTTTTTTTTTTGTATTTTTTGCTGTTATAATTTCTCTTTTTTTACTATTTTAGTAGGTGTATAATTTAAAGCCATGCCATATTTGAGGCAATACATTAGGGGTATACAATGCAAGAGGAAATTAAATGGACAACAAAACTAGTTTAAATTAAGTTCAATAGTTCTAATAGAAAAAAAAACAGATAAGAACTACATTAATTATAAAAAGAAACTTCTAACAGTTGAATAGTTATTCTCTTCAAATATAATAAAAATCAGCCGTTTCTATTCTTAAAACTTTTGTTCTTCTAATGTTGAATTTTTATTTTAATTTCCTAAGACAATCATAGACAACTAGTTAGCGTAAACAGCTGACATTTCAAATTAATTTTATATTAAATTTAAAATAAACGACTTGTTTCTTTCTCACTACTGAATACCCTTACTTAAATTTTGTGTGTCTTTCCATTTAAAGCTCCAAAGCCATTATAGTTTCGAATACTACTTATTAGTAAAGTGGATGTGTTATGACACATTGCGGTTTAAAATATTATAATTAACTACAAAACAACAACAATAACAATAATTTATAATAAGGTATTAATTGTATAGAAAAATAATTGAAAATTAATGAACGAAAAAAATAAAACAAAATCAAATCCTCATTGTTTTGATATAAAAAAAAGGTGTGAGTAAGTTTTTTTGAATAAAATAAAATTGTTTATTAAAAATAAAAAATAGAGAAAAATTTATTGCATAATTTAATAGGTTATGATCTGATAATAGATAATATTATTACAGCTATGGGATTAGATGGTTTGGAATATACAATTTTCTTAATTATCCTATAAACTGAACAAGAGCTGAACTAGAACAGAACTAGAACAGAACTAGAACAGAACTAGAACAGAACTAGAACAGAACTAGAACAGAACTAGAACAGAACTAGAACAGAACTAGAACAGAACTAGAACAGAACTAGAACAGAACTAGAACAGAACTAGAACAGAACTAGAACAGAACTAGAACAGAACTAGAACAGAACAGAACTAGAACAGAACTAGAACAGAACTAGAACAGAACTAGAACAGAACTAGAACAGAACTAGAACAGAACTAGAACAGAACTAGAACAGAACTAGAACAGAACTAGAACAGAACTAGAACAGAACTAGAACAGAACTAGAACAGAACTAGAACAGAACTAGAACAGAACTAGAACAGAACTAGAACAGAACTAGAACAGAACTAGAACAGAACTAGAACAGAACTAGAACAGAACTAGAACAGAACTAGAACAGAACTAGAACAGAACTAGAACAGAACTAGAACAGAACTAGAACAGAACTAGAACAGAACTAGAACAGAACTAGAACAGAACTAGAACAGAACTAGAACAGAACTAGAACAGAACTAGAACAGAACTAGAACAGAACTAGAACAGAACTAGAACAGAACTAGAACAGAACTAGAACAGAACTAGAACAGAACTAGAACAGAACTAGAACAGAACTAGAACAGAACTAGAACAGAACTAGAACAGAACTAGAACAGAACTAGAACAGAACTAGAACAGAACTAGAACAGAACTAGAACAGAACTAGAACAGAACTAGAACAGAACTAGAACAGAACTAGAACAGAACTAGAACAGAACTAGAACAGAACTAGAACAGAACTAGAAAAGAACTAGAACAGAACGAGAACAAAACTAGAACAGATCTGGATAATTTCTATCAATCTGTCCCATTGTGTTTTGTAAAGAAAATATGTACATATGTATTTAACTCAAGTACAAACTATTTTATCAAAATATAAACAAATCATACCTATTAAATAACAAAAATGAAATGAAGCAAAAACTATTTGTTTAATCTGTCAACTAAATATATCAATAAAGAAATTCTTGCTTTAAAAAAAGAGCGACTATAAATAAAAATATATAAAGAAAATTCTATGCAAGTAAAAATAAAACGAAAGAAATAATAAATTAAAAGATAAGAACTTAAACAGAAATATTTAACACATGTATTTCATTGAGGAATATTCATTATTATAAAATCGAAACGAAATATTAAGAAAAACTTACCTCATAATTACGTTTTAATGATGCATATTCTTGTAAAGTACGGGATACATTACGTTTTAAGGTTGAGATCTCTTGTATTTCATTGTCTAAAATTAATTTAAGACGCCGCACCACTTCGCATTCTGTTTCCAATTCACTGTCAACAATACACTCAGCAATTGACTTTTCAAGTTCGCCTATTATGAGGGAAGAAAGAGTAAAATATTCAAAACTTGTGATTAAATAAGAAAAGAAGTAGCTGCTGCTAGCTAAAGTCATAATTTAAAATTCACAAGACATTCATGGTCTTCATTGGATGTGAAGTATGCATTAAAGTAAAAGTAATAACAGGAAATATTAAAATAAATAAATTGTTTATTAATCTGTCTTGTCTTCTTTTCATTTTTGCATTAAATCAACAAAACAAACCAACAAAAAAAGTAACAAATAAATAAGTCTTATATAAAAATTAAATCATACTGCTTTTTTCTCAATTTCATTTTTGAAATTGTGTGGCATATACAACAAGGTTGATGACTTGTTTATATCATTCATTACTCACTCGTAGTAAATATGCAAGTGGTTGCTGCTGGCTTGCTTGGCTATTAATTCCAAGCTTTTGAAGTTGATTTTTTCTACACATTTTCTAAAGTGTTTAACAAGACATTTTAATTTAGAAAATGTTCATGTAGTTTATTTAATTCCATATGGATTTGTTAAGGGGATGAGCGAATGGTAGGGTGGTGGTAGTGTTGTTGTTTCTTTGTAATTTATCTACTTTAAATGTGTGAATTTAATTTATATTGTGGGATTTTGTATTGCGTTTAATTATTTAGTTTAGCCTACATGTTTAGTTTTTTATGCAATTGAGAAAATGTATTTGCAAATTGAAATGAAAAAAGAGGATTAAAATAAATTGACCATAAATTGAAACAACCACAAAAATAGACAGATAATTTAATTTTAACTAAAGTGACAGTTGATTATTATCTAATTGCGGAAAATATTCGCAAGATTATAAATATATTATTTATAATTATAATCATGATATTAGGTTGATTTTAACTACAGTTATTATGTTTTAAAAATTTCAAATTTTTGGTAATTTTTTTATTTCTGAACCAGAACTAAACTAGAACTGAACTAGAACTAAACTAGAACTAAACTAGAAACTGAACTAGAACTGAACTAGAACTGAACTAGAATGAACTAGAACTGAACTAGAACTGAACTAGAACTGAACTAGAACTGAACTAGAACTGAACTAGAACTGAACTAGAAACTGAACTAGAACTGAACTAGAACTGAACTAGAACTGAACTAGAACTGAACTAGAACTGAACTAGAACTGAACTAGAACTGAACTAGAACTGAACTAGAACTGAACTAGAACTGAACTAGAACTGAAACTAGAACTGAACTAGAACTGAACTAGAACTGAACTAGAACTGAACTAGAACTGAACTAGAACTGAACTAGAACTGAACTAGAACTGAATACTAGAACTGAACTAGAACTGAACTAGAACTGAACTAGAACTGAACTAGAACTGAACTAGAACTGAACTAGAACTGAACTAGAACTGAACTAGAACTGAACTAGAACTGAACTAGAACTGAACTAGAACTGAACTAGAACTGAACTAGAACTGAACTAGAACTGAACTAGAACTGAACTAGAACTGAACTAGAACTGAACTAGAACTGAACTAGAACTGAACTAGAACTGAACTAGAACTGAACTAGAACTGAACTAGAACTGAACTAGAACTGAACTAGAACTGAACTAGAACTGAACTAGAACTGAACTAGAACTGAACTAGAACTGAACTAGAACTGAACTAGAACTGAACTAGAACTGAACTAGAACTGAACTAGAACTGAACTAGAACTGAACTAGAACTGAACTAGAACTGAACTAGAACTGAACTAGAACTGAACTAGAACTGAACTAGAACTGAACTAGAACTGAACTAGAACTGAACTAGAACTGAACTAGAACTGAACTAGAACTGAACTAGAACTGAACTAGAACTGAACTAGAACTGAACTAGAACTGAACTAGAACTGAACTAGAACTGAACTAGAACTGAACTAGAACTGAACTAGAACTGAACTAGAACTGAACTAGAACTGAACTAGAACTGAACTAGAACTGAACTAGAACTGAACTAGAACTGAACTAGAACTGAACTAGAACTGAACTAGAACTGAACTAGAACTGAACTAGAACTGAACTAGAACTGAACTAGAACTGAACTAGAACTGAACTAGAACTGAACTAGAACTGAACTAGAACTGAACTAGAAGTGAACTAGAACTGAACTAGAACTGAACTAGAACTGAACTAGAACTGAACTAGAACTAAACTAGAACTGAACTAGAACTGAACTAGAACTGAACTAGAACTGAACTAGAACTGAACTAGAACTGAACTAGAACTGAACTAGAACTGAACTAGAACTGAACTAGAACTGAACTAGAACTGAACTAGAACTGAACTAGAACTGAACTAGAACTCAACTAGAACTCAACTAGAACTCAACTAGAACTGAACTAGAAATGAACTAGAACTGAACTAAAACTGAACTAGAACTAGAACTGAACTAGAACTGAAAATCACAAAAAATTATTGTTTATTCTCTTTTGTAAATATTTACAAATTTTCTTAAGTAAACTAACAATCCTTTTTTAAATATATAAAACAAATATTCAAAAAATTAACAAAATATAAATAGAACTTTACTGCTGTCTTTCACCTACACCGAAAACCACTTCATGAATTTAATCAATTTAAAGCGATTAGATTAAAATTAATAAATAAAGGCTGTGGCACAAAAATAGCTTCGGCAACAGCAACATTAAAATGGTTACACTAAAAAAAGGAAAATATTTTTAAACTAAACAACACTTTCAAAATATATTAAGTTACATTAAAAATTATGACACACAAACATTAGAATTTTATTTGTAAACTTAACCCTGACCTTCCCATTTTATGAACAAGACTTTTCATTTAAATATTTTTATAACTTTTTCCATTTTATAGAAGAAAAGAAACAATACCGCCACTTCTTCACCTGTGTGTCGTTAATTTAAAAGGTTTACTTGAGCTACTAACTTTTCCCTTTTAATTAATTTATTTAGCTGCCAAATTTGTTTAAAAAACTGACACTTTTACAACAAAATTATAAGTTTTTATTTGTGTTTGACACAAGAAATCACGAATGCTTTTGTAACTATAAATGGCCCATATGTAATCATCAGTTCAGTTAGTTCATTCCATTTCAAATACCCCAAGCGTTTGTTATCATATGCATGCATGTAAATGTATATTATGGAGATGGCTGGTTAAATGTTTTTATTTTTTGCTGTTTACAAAACAAGGTCATACAAAACTAAAAGGTGAGGCGAGGCTACTTAAAATGTACACAAAAAACAACAACAACAAATAAATACAAAATACATATATAAACAAAATTTTAAAACAAACAAAACAAAAAAATAATCATAAAAAAACGCACACCACACATTAAAACTGATAATATTATGACACAATGCATTAATAACAAAGTGACCAACTGAAAACTACTTTAAAAGTAACACTTTCATAGATTCCTCAACAAAAGAAAAAGGCAAACAAAAAACCCACGCCAAAAGAGAAAGAAAAGAAAATATTATGATAAATAAATATGAGATTGACACGCAAAGTTTCCCCCAGTGAATGTTTGCATATAGATAAACCCTTTTTGGAAACTATTATTGTGGAGTTTTCACATATTCAAGTTTTTTAAGAAATTAATTTAATCAACTTTTGTTTCGGTTTGAGATTATAAAAAGAGGTTGCTTGGTGTTGTTGTATTGGAAATGTAACGAATTTTAAATGCCCTTCCTGGGTCTTTTTTATGGAATATCTTATTAGCTGGTGCAGCAGGTTATCAAAAGGGGAGGTGTTCAGTCTTGCCTACAGTCTATTCTATAGCCTAGTCTATACTGTAGTCTATAGTCTAGTCTATAGTCTAGTCTATAGTTTAGTCTATAGTCTAGTCTATAGTCTAGTCCATAGTCCAGTCTATAGTCCAGTCTATAGTCTAGTCCATAGTCCAGTCTATAGTCTAGTCTATAGTCTAGTCTATAGTCTAGTCTATAGTCTAGTCTATAGTCTAGTCTATAGTCTAGTCTATAGTCTAGTCTATAGTCTAGTCTATAGTCTAGTCTATAGTCTAGTCTATAGTCTAGTCTATAGTCTAGTCTATAGTCTAGTCTATAGTCTAGTCTATAGTCTAGTCTATAGTCTAGTCTAAAGTCTAGTCTATAGTCTAGTCTATAGTCTAGTCTATAGTCTAGTCTATAGTCTAGTCTATAGTCTAGTCTATAGTCTGGTCTATAGTCTAATCTATAGTCTAGTCTATAGTCTAGTCTATAGTTTAGTCTATAGTCTATTCCATAGTCTAGTTTATAGTCTAGTCTATAGTCTAGTCTATAGTCTAGTCTATAGTCTAGTCTATAGTCTAGTTTATAGTCTAGTCTATATTCTAGTCTATAGTCTAGTCTATAGTCTAATCTAGTCTATAATCTAGTCTATAGTCTAGTCTATAGTCTAGTCTATAGTCTAGTCTATAGTCTAGTCTATAGTCTAGTCTATAGTCTAGTCTATAGTCTAGTCTATATTCTAGTCTATAGTTGTCTGGGGTATAGTCTACTCTATAATATGGTCTATAGTCCAGTTTATGTTCTAGTCTACAGAGACAATTTACAAAAAAATTTACAAAAAATTTAAAAAACCGCGATCTTTTGGAATTTATTTAATAACCATTAAAAAACAAATAGAAAGACAAGCTTAACACACCAACCAAATGTTAAAAAGCAACCAAGTATATAATAGATATTAAATGGCGGATATTGAATTCTTATCAGAAATTGATTAAAAAGGTAACAAACACACGGAACACCAAACACATTTCTTAATTGAACACAAAATAAAAAATTCCCTTAAATTGAACTTAAGAAAAGCAAAAAAGGTTCCTTAAAACTTATGAAATATGATCACCGACTTACCACAATTAACTAAAACATGATGCAAAGGCATATCTTTCGATAATTCCTTTGATGACTCTTCCAGGGCTTGGCCAATTTTATAGTGTGTTTGTTTTTTAATGCGTTTATCGCGTTCCTGTAAATCAGCTGAACCGCCGCTGCTGCTACTGTTGGGCACAGTAGGCAACTTACGTACCATTTTATCCAAGACATCGCGATATTTTTCCACTTGTTTTTCGATGGTTTCTAATTCAAAATCCTTGCGATCTGGTTTATTAGATCTGCAAGGAAAGGAGAACAAATTACATGATTAGGTCGACACCCTTAAAAGTCTTTGTGTGTAGGAATCGCAAAAAAAATTCAACTAAATGTTGCATTATTATAGAGACACATTCCGACACACCAAGCTATTATGTGTGGCCGTGTAACCTTTTTCGCAGACGTTATAGCCGTCTCCAATAAGAGTAGCTTACACAAAAAACAAAAACAACACATACTAGATAATAGTAAAATAACAATTTTACCTTGAAAGATTTTCAGCTGCTATTTTAATTTTAGTAAATTGTTTTTTCATATTGAATCCTTCTTAAACACACAAAAACTTGTTTCTTTTATTTATGTAATCTATTTGCTTTTTTCTTTCTTGCACTTTTTTACAATTCTTTATTATTTTTCTAAATATTCCATAAAATTATTAATAATTTTTATTATATTTTTTTTAAATAATTTTTTTGTTAAACAAAAACACACTCACGAAAATTAGTCATTCTTTGATAATACAAGAAGAACGTATAAAAATGCAAAGGCGTTGACAGTTGTCACAATACAAATAAAAAAATATTCGCACTTTTTGCTAGATGTTCAGTGTATGCTAGTAGGAACAACTCTGTTAACTTTATCTTCTTACACTGAACATACTCTTTGTAAATTGTGACAGCTTTGCTACAAACTGTCATATAGTTTTTTGTGTTTTTCTTTATATTTTGTTTTGATTTCGTTTCGTTTGCTATAGAATACACGTGTTGTAGTAGTAGTTTATTAAAAATTGAATTTTTGTTTAAAATTATTAAAAAATTATTAATTAAAATGACCATACAAATAGATAAAAAACATTTACAAACGTTTATGCGTTCGGAAAATGAGAAAATTATGGATTTACTATTGACTTTCAATGTGCCAGACTCAATAGAAGGTAAGTTCTGGGAATGTATGGAAACTTGGGGGAGCTAGATTTTTAAGATAGGTAACAAATCTTGTATTCGTTTCTCCAAATATTTATTCAAACGACCTGATATTCGAGTAGCTAAAAAATTCCATTTAGCAACATATATTCCAACTCCATGATTTTCTCAGGAAAACAAAACTGTTACAGCAACAACAAAAATTTGTCAGAAGGCACACCTCCACTCGGGTCTACATAATAATCTGTATAGGTATATGCACATATTCTTTTATTAAAGTATTTTGTTTTTTTTCTTAAATTTCAGATACCGATTGCGATGCATACCTACTGACCACCAGTAAAACGGTTTCAAAATCAATGCCTGCCAAACAGAATTCAGCTTCCATTGATGAACTGCAAGATCGTTTAAATACCATTAAGAATAAAATGAAAACGAAAAAGGGACCAATTTCGGAAAAGGCACGCAAGAAAAAAGAGGAGAAAAAACTAAAGAAAAATAAAGAATTCAAAAAAGTACTCGTTTCCGCCGCTAAATCCATGAAAAATGAACAAGCCAAACACTCCAGTACCAACCAAGAAGACGAAACTGACACCAAAAAAGACATTAAACCTGTCATACCCAAACCGGTGTTCAATGAGGAAGGTAAAATTGTTTTCTCCAAATTCGATTTTGCCCAAAAGAAAAAGAATTCCCACCAAAATCCCCGTGAAATATTGAAGAAAATCAAGGAAACCGATAAGAAAATCAATGAACTAAAAGAAATGGGTGAAACCGAAAAGGCGCTGGAAATGAAAAATGAAATTGCCTGGAAAAAGGCTTTCGATAAGGTGGATGGTAAAAAGGTTAAGGATGATCCTAAACTATTATACAAGGCCATTAAAAAACGCAAAGTGGAAAAGAAGAAGGCCAAGAAACAATGGACCGATCGCAAGAAGAAAGTCGAGCAGGATATTGCTTCAAGACAAAAGAAACGCAATGAAAATATTAATAAACGTATTAAGGATAAACAAACTAGAAAACTTAAGAGAGCCTCGAAAAAGGGCAGAATTATTCCTGGTTTTTAATAAAGTTTTAGATTTTTTAAGAATTGGATGTTTTATTTGAGGAGAAAGGGGTCTTAATAATAAATATCAGAAGCGACAAAATTTTATCAAAACTTCACAGAATTCCTTCCCGATTGAATGTTGAATTGGCTAGATAAAAGAATAAAGTGTATTGGACTGGACTTAAGATAAAGTCATAAAACAATAGACTAGGTTCTCTATTAAACTCAAGGCTATATATTAATCTATATTTATCAATTATGTACAGGATCGACTTTAGATTATACACTAGACTATTAACAGCTAAACTAGATTATGGATCAAACTCATAAAAAGAGTTGATTTTAAAATAATATTAAATTGTTGATTCTAATGTATTGCATCAAAACAAATGTCCACACCAAAAATTTGACTCCTCCGACCAAAATGATCGATTCTATTGACAAAAAACAAAAGGCCCTATCTACAAAAATATTTAAATATTAAAGGTAAAAAGTCCAATTTATACACTTTTATATACATACGTCATTATCAACTATCATTATATATTTACTTGCTTCTCCCGTAAAATTTTAAAAATGTTAGATAGGGCCGTTTGCGTTTTAGGTGACGATATATAATAGGTATAAAAATATTTTAGTTTAAACGTAATTGACTAAAAAATAAACTTCGACTGCATCTATTTGGACAAATTTAAAGCTTTATAGAAACACTGGATCCCCAGAATATGAAATTTAATTTTTTACATATCTCTCAATAACGAATTTGAATTATATAACCTAATATTTTAAGTAGTAATACCACTGTGCTTAAATTTCCAAACATTACAAAAAAAAAACGCGTTCAACAGATAAACTTAAAAATAACAACACTGTTCTCACACTGAACATACCACCAGCTGTCATGACATTTCTGTTTTTGAAAGAATATAGCAAAAGAAGAAATAAAATGACAAAAAATTAAGCAGAAAATTACACAAAATAAGAAAAGCACTAGAAAAAGCAAGAAGAAAAGAAAAGAGTGAATATTTTTATATATTATTTTGACAAAAAGTGCTTTAAAAAATTGCGTATTTAAATAAAAAATTAATTTAATTTTCCATTTTTTTTTTCCAAAGAGGAGCAATACAACAAAGACAACGAAAACAAAGGAAAAAATAAACAAATTTGACGTGGAAAAGTCAACTCATTTTTATATTATTTGTGGCGATAGAAAAATTAAATTGTGTTAGAAAAGCAAATTGTGTGTTAATTTTTTTTTAAGAAATTGTAACTAAACCCAAAAGATAACAGAGCTGCTGGTTGTTCCGGTCTGATTATGAGTGTAGTACGCCACATTGTGTTGCTGTCCCAGCTGCCGAAAGCTGGAATCCATTATTACTGGTTAAAAGGTAAGTCTTCATTTCTTTGGTTAAAGTTAAGGAAAAGTGGCAAGAATTTCATAATAGGCCAATTTTTTGCTTCTTTGTGTATTTGAATTTGTGAAATGGCACGAATATTGTAAAAAAAGAGAGCGCAATTGTTTAATTTGTTAAAAATTTGTGTTTATTTTTTACGTTGTGTGTTTTTTATTGAAATTTAACAAATTTCTAGGGTTTTATTTAGATACTTTGTTAATTTTATAAGCAAACAAGTTATGCAAAATATAAATAAACAAATATGATGAATCATTTTATTTATAAACATTTATAAAATATATTTTTTAAGTAATTAGGTATATATTTTCCTTGGAAGTTATTTTTTAAAGTCAATTTCTATTAATTCTACACAATTCCTTTTTTCCTCCTAAAAAAATCTATTTTCCCTCCCCTTTGGTTTCGAACTAACATGATCAAGGTCATTTTTATCACTCGATTCAATTTTCAATCACTGTCTATAGTATTTATTGTCTAGTGTTATTGTTGTTGTTTTCAATTAATTTATTTCTTTATTGCTATTTGTTTACTACTTGCTTTTATTTATAATTAAAAATTTAACAATATTTAAAAGACATGTAGCATTTAAAGCCTAGAATTTGTTTAATGTGCATATAAAAACATGTTTTTATATTTTTATAAAACTCGATCTGTTTGTCTGTCTTTCAGTTTGTCTGCTTTAAGTAATGTTAAGGTTATTGTACCAATTTTGTTTAATTATTTATACCTATTTCATCATTTTGTTTTATAAGTCAAGTTTTTTTTAAGGTTTAGTTTGTTTAACTGCGGCTGCATAGATCGCAACAGTTAGTTGTTGTTGCTAAAAAAGACCGACTTCAACTTCCTATTGTATTAATTAATTGTATAATCTACATGTAGCGACAACAAAACATTAGCAATAATAATAATAAAAGTTATCAGTTAAAATACAATTGGAACTACAACCACAATGAATTTATGAAGATTTTGTAAACAAAGGGAGATACCTAAAAAAGTATTTTATTCAACATGCTTCTTCTTCTTTGAATCCATTCTTTATTTTTAATATTATTACGGTAAAAAGTAAAATATTTAATATTTTAGTAGGATTGCAAAATATATGTCGTATTTATAGTCGCTTACTGCCTGTGGTTTCCATTGTAATTATAGTCTAAAACCGTAGGTTACTGTTATTTAAAAGTGGGAGTAAATATAAGAAGTGATTGTCGAAGAGTATGTTCAGTGTATGCAAACATGTTTGCGGTAAAAATGTAAGTGGAAGCTAAAAATAGTAATACCTACGACTTTATACATTTTATAATGATTTGAATATAACGAAAAAAAAAAACAGGACCACGCTTTAATTTAGTCTATAGTCTAGTCTTTTCGAAAAAGGAATGATTTTTATCTTACATATCTATAAATTCCTATATTTTTTATTGTTCTACAATTTTAAAATGTTTTTTGCAAAACTTAAACTATTTCCCTCTTCTTACAACAGGCCTTTGCTGTTCCAATCATCATACACAAGCTGGATGTTTAGCTGCGTTGACAACGCGTTGCCTACACTTGGCAACTAGTCCAAAAATTGACATAACCCTCTCGCATGCAGCAGCTGGTGCCAGCGGAGGAGGCGCAGCTGGCTCGGGAGCGGGTTCAGTTGGTAGTGGCGGCAGTGGTGGCAGTGCCCCGACATCAGGCTCATCTTCCGGCAGTTCTGGTGAACCACCAAATGATAAAAATTTCCTATCATGTCCCAAATGCGGTAGTCCCTGCACACAAGTAGAGACCTTTGTCAGTTCGACACGCTTCGTTAAGTGTGCCAAATGTAATCATTTCTTTGTGGTACTCTCCGAGGTGGACACCAAGCGCAGTGTTAAAGATGAACCGAAAAATCAACGTAAACCTCCACCACCGCCACAAAAAATCATGGAATATCTCGATAAACATGTAGTGGGTCAAGATTTTGCTAAAAAGGTATTATCGGTGGCTGTGTACAATCACTATAAACGTATACACCACAATCTACCACAATTGAGTCCGCAACAGCAGCAACAAATGTCTCAGGCCAACTCGAATATGATGAATGATCCCATGGGTACACGCAATGATCTATTGCATATAACCGGCATAGGTCATACCATGGCCAATTCCCCTGGCACCGAATTGCCACCCAAACAGTCTCAAAGTCATCATCATGGTCACGACTCGGGTTCGGAAATTTTGGATAAACAAAATTATGACATAAAACTGGAAAAGAGTAATATTATAATGTTGGGTCCCACCGGTTCGGGTAAAACTCTGATAGCTCAAACTATAGCCAAATGTTTGGATGTACCTTTTGCCATCTGTGATTGTACCACCCTAACACAAGCCGGTTATGTGGGCGAAGACATAGAGAGTGTCATTTCAAAGTTATTGCAAGATGCTAATTACAAGTAATTAACACTGAATGAAGAATTTCTTAGAATATTGTTATTTATCATTTCCTTTTGTTTTTCTTTTGCTAATTCAGTGTGGAACGTGCTCAAACTGGTATTGTTTTCTTAGATGAAGTGGATAAGATCGGTGCTGTACCCGGTATACATCAATTGAGAGATGTAGGCGGTGAGGGTGTACAACAGGGCATGTTAAAAATGCTAGAAGGCACTATTGTCAATGTACCCGAACGTAATTCACCGCGTAAATTGCGTGGTGAAACTGTACAAGTAGACACTACGAATATTTTGTTTGTGGCCTCGGGTGCTTATACGGGCTTGGATCGTCTTATAGCTAGAAGGTTAAATGAAAAGGTTTGTTTTGGGTTTTTTTATTGGAATTTCACAACATTTTTTTATTGATTTTTCTCAAAAATTTTTCACTTAACATTTTTACGGAAATTTTTCACTAAAATTTTTCAACAAAAATGTTCACTTAAATTTTCACCAAAAATGTTCACTAAAAATTTTCACCAAAACTTTTCACCAAAAATGTTCACTGAAAATTTTCACCAAAAATTTTCGCCAAAAATTTTCACCAAAAATTTTCGCTAAAAATTTTCAATTAAAATTTTCGCTCAAAATTTTCAATTAAAATTTTCGCCCAAAATTTTCACCAAAAATTTTCACTAAAAATTTTCAACAAAAATTTTCACTAAAAATTTCAACAAAAATTTTCATTAAAAATTTTTACCAAAAATTAACACTAAAAATTTTCACTAAGAATTTTTATTAAAATTTTTCATTAAAAATTTTCACTCAAAATTTTCACCAAAAATGTTCACTAAAAATTTTCACCAAAAATTTTCATTAAAAATTTTGGCCAAAAATTTTCGTTAAAAATTTTCACCAAAAATTTTCACTAAAAATGTTAACTAAAATATTTCACTAAAAGTATTCATCAAAAATTTTCAAAATTTTATTTTTCTATTTCTAGTATTTGGGTTTTGGCGCTCCCACATCTGGTGCTTCTGGTCGTCGTGCTGCTCAATCTGCCGCCAGTCCCATGGACAATGATCAAGAAGAACGTGATAAATGTTTGACAAAAGTACAAGCTCGTGATCTCGTTGAATTTGGCATGATACCGGTAAGTTGAAACATATCTTCAAGGCATAAGGAAGGTTTAAAAAAATTCTTTAATCATTTGCAGGAATTCGTTGGACGTTTCCCCGTTATTGTGCCCTTCCATAGCCTTAATGTTAATATGCTGGTGCGCATTTTAACCGAACCGAAAAATGCTTTAATACCTCAGTATAAGGCTTTAATTGGTTTAGATCATGTTGATCTAACCTTTACCGAAAATGCCATCAAAGCCATTGCCAAATTGGCCATGGAACGTCAAACAGGCGCCAGAGGTTTACGTTCAATTATGGTAAATAGACATATAAAGGGAGTTAAATATAAGAATTTTAATAAATTTGCATTTGTTTTTTAGGAACAACTTTTACTTGATCCCATGTTTGAGGTGCCCGGTTCCGATATCAAGACTGTTCATATTACATCATCCTGTGTTAAGGGCAAATCCGAGCCTATTTATATACGTAATGAAGAATCAACAAACACAGAGACTACTAGCGATGACACAGAGGATAGTGAAACAGCTAAAGTTCGTGTTACACAATAAGTTTTTAACTCTTTTTTTTTCATCTCTTTCCTTTTCTCAACTGAAAACATAAACTTGCTCCCTCCACACCATTAACCCACAAATTATATTTGATTGCCCCTCTTTCTACTCTTCCAGCTTTAAATTGTCGAAATCTGTTTGTATTTAATTGTTTACTTATAAATAGTTTAATTCTTAAGAGTTTTATGTTACAAAAAAAGGAAACAGTTTTTTTTAACATTTCTGCTGTTTTGGAGAAAGAGTTTTTAGATTTCTATTATTATCTCTTAGAGAGACTTTTAAAGAAAAGTTTCCTTACTCCTCCTCCTCTCTGTGACCCTCTCTTTGTTTAAAAACAAACAAACAACATCTGTAGGAAATATTAAAATCTTAACTGAAAGGAAAATTAACACATTTTTTAGTTATAAATATATAAAAAATTGTAATATTTTGTTAGATAATCAAGAAAAAAAACTAAAATTTTAAGCAAACTTTATGAAAACAACAAAAAAATACAAAAAAAAAACTTTAAATAAAATCGAAAATATGTGAAAAAAAAATAGTAAAACATAAATAAAATGTTTATTATTAAACAATATTTTAAAGATTTAATTACTATAATGTATATTTTAGTTGTAAATTAATTATTTTTTGGAAATAAAAACGAAACAAAAAAATAATAAAAAATTAAAAAAAAAACTAAACAAAAATTGAAGTTTTTCTTTAAATCTTTAAACACAATCAATTGACTAGACAAACGTTTAGGTTTTTAATCTAAACAAATTTCAGAGATTTCTTTGTAACCATTTTTGAAATTTTCTTTACTTCAAAATTAATTAATTAAAAACACTTTTAAAACCTTTCTTTGGTTTGTTTTATCTTTATTTTTAGTTTTTTTCTTTAAATATAAATATGCATTTAAATAGTTGTTTTTTTTTTTATTAAAAATAATTTAATTTTATAAACCCAAATTTTGAAAATAAATTTCCAAAAAATTGTTCGTTTTAAACTTAAATAAAAGGGAATTTTACAGGTTTGGTTTTGTTTTCGCCAGTAATTAAAAATATAAAACTTTAAAGGAAAACAAAAAAAAAAATGAACAAAAAATTATGAAAAAATTAAATAACAAGTTAATTTTTTTAAAAGGTATTTAACTAAAATTCCAACTAAATAGTATTTTGTTTTAAAATATTTTTTTTGCTTTAACAACAAAATTTAAAAAAAAATCCATTTTTGAACTATAAATTCTAAGAGCAAAAAATAATATAGTTGTTTTTTTAATTAAAAAGGTATAAAAATTTGTTTATAATAAATATATTAAAAATATATAATTAGGAGGGCACTTAAGGGCTTTAATCACTCATTTTCTTCGGTTATTAAGAGTTCATATTCTTGGGCAGCAAAACGATCCCAGTCGCTGGCCTAAAAAGATAATTTTAATTGTTTTTTAACAGTTAATTTGTTTTCAATATGAATTGTTTTAAAATACTTACATATTCATCTCTTTGTGAGGCAAATGGATCACGTTGTTCATGATCTAAGTATTTTTCCAAATTGAAAAATGTGTCAAAGAATACATGTGTCATTTTGCAATTCTTTAAGTCACTCAAAGTGACAGCATCTCGACGTTTTGGTTTTATCATGTCTAACATCTGTAAGAAAAGAAAAGTTATATATTATTGAAATAATTAATTACAAAATTTTCCAAAAACAAAATATTTATGGAACATTTTGGAAGAATGATTGTTTATTGCAAAATATAAAAATTACGAAACATTTATTTAGATTTAAACTAAGTTCTAGTTCTGTTCTAGTTCTGTTCTAGTTCTGTTCTAGTTCAGTTCTAGTTCTGTTCTGTTCTAGTTCTGTTCTAGTTCTAGTTCTGTTCTAGTTCTGTTCTAGTTCTGTTCTAGTTCTGTTCTAGTTCTGTTCTAGTTCTGTTCTAGTTCTGTCCTAGTTATGTTCAAGTTCTGTTCTAGTTCTGTTCTGTTCTAGTTCTGTTCTAGTTATGTTATAGTTATGTTCTTGTTATGTTATAGTTCTGTTCTAGTTCTGTTCTATGCTAGTTTTGTTCTAGTTCTGTTCTAAATCTCTTCTAGTTCTGTTCTAGTTCTGTTCTAGTTCTGTTCTAGTTCTGTTCTAGTTCTGTTCTAGTTCTGTTCTAGTTCTGTTCTAGTTCTGTTCTAGTTCTGTTCTAGTTCTGTTCTAGTTCTGTTCCAGTTCTGTTCTAGTTCTGTTCTAGTTCTGTTCTAGTTCTATTCTAGTTCTGTTCTAGTTCTGTTCTAGTTCTGTTCTAGTTCTGTCCTACTTCTGTTCCAGTTATGTTCTACTTCTGTTCTAGTTCTGTTCTAGTTCTGTTCTAGTTCTGTTCTAGTTCTGTTCTAGTTCTGTTCTAGTTCTGTTCTAGTTCTGTTCTAGTTCTGTTCTAGTTCTGTTCTAGTTCTGTTCTAGTTCTGTTCTAGTTCTGTTCTAGTTCTGTTCTAGTTCTGTTCTAGTTCTGTTCTAGTTCTGTTCTAGTTCTGTTCTAGTTCTGTTCTAGTTCTGTTCTAGTTCTGTTCTAGTTCTGTTCTAGTTCTGTTCTAGTTCTGTTCTAGTTCTGTTCTAGTTCTGTTCTAGTTCTGTTCTAGTTCTGTTCTAGTTCTGTTCTAGTTCTGTTCTAGTTCTGTTCTAGTTCTGTTCTAGTTATGTTCTAGTTCTGTTCTAATTCTGTTCTAGTTCTGTTCTAGTTCTGTTCTAGTTCTGTTCTAGTTCTGTTCTAGTTCTGTTCTAGTTCTGTTCTAGTTCTGTTCTAGTTCTGTTCTAGTTCTGTTCTAGTTCTGTTCTAGTTCTGCTCTAGTTCTGTTCTAGTTCAGTTCTAGTTCTGTTCTAGTTCTGTTCTAGTTCTGTTCTAGTTCTGTTCTAGTTCTGTTCTAGTTCTGTTCTAGTTCTGTTCTAGTTCTGTTCTAGTTCTGTTCTAGTTCTGTTCTCGTTCTGTTTTAGTTCTGTTCTAGTTCTGTTCTGGTTCAGATCTAATTCTATTCTGGTTCAGATCTAGTTCTGTTCTAGTGCTATTCTGGTTCTGTTTTAGTTTAGTTCTAGTTTTAATCCAGTTTAGATAAGTTCTTCACTTGTTCCTTCAATTCTCACCTGACACAGACAATCCTCAAATGGCAACGATTCAATGCCAATCGATTCCATACGCTGTTGTTGTTCCTCATAAAAATATTCTAACTCGTACATAGACAACAGACCATCACCATCAATATCCATACAACGGAACCAATACTCAATAGCGGTAGGTGTGCGTTTATCCTCTTCAGACAATAGAAACCAAACAAAATCTGTATAGGACATTTTGGGTTCATCATCGGGATGTTTTTTATTATCCGAACGTGTCACACAACCCGAAAATATACGTTCAACAATACGTGTAGATAGAGCATGATCACTATGACGCGCCAAATCATCTTGATTTATAAGCAAATCATGATCTTTATCCAATTCCCAAAATTTACAATAGATCACATAGAAATGTTCATAACTGAAAAAGGCCATGATCTGATTGATGTCATCCTCTTCCTCCAGCAGGGTAACAATCTTAAATTAATAATGAAAATTTAGAAAACATAAACAAAAATTTGTTAACGGAATTTTTTACCAACCTCCAATAAATCCGACTTTTTCAATTCGGATATAGAAATTTTACCCGACCAACTGCGATTAACCGAATAGAATATTCGTGCTATAACGGTGTGTACATATCTGGAATGAAATTCGGTGGCCTCTTTGAGAAACGCCAAACCCGGATGTGTATCAACAACGTCTTGCACTAAGGGCGCCAAATCTTCGGGCAGTATATAGGAACGCATACGTTGACCTCGCGATAAAATGTACACAAAACGAGAGGCATCATCATGGCAATAGACATTCATTCTAAAGATGTTTTAAATTAAGTTAAAAACTGGAATTTCAAAGAATTTCACATAAAACTTACTGTTTCCAAAATTCCACAAATCTTTGCCGTTCCACCAGACCCGAATTATGTTGCTGACAAAATACCATTACCGGCATGCGCCAGTAAAAAGGTAGACCACAGATTTTCAATATACGCGGCAATTCATCTTTGGTCACCTGATTATTGGGAAATGTATCGAAAGCTGACAGAATACCACGTAAAGTACGTTCCAGTGCAATTGTGGGTTGGGGTTTGCCATGGGGAAAATAAAATCTGTGAATGAGTCAAACATATTCTAAATATTTTTCCGTCTGTATATGGGAATAGGGTTTTATACCTGGGTATATAAACACTTTTGGTATTTTTCAATTCCCTTTGAATTGAGTTCTGTTCGGCTGGCGGTGGGGGCGTGGCATGTAATTTTACCTTAAATGAGATGAAAATAAAAATAAATAAAATTAATTAATGGTTTTACTATCAGACATTTTGGAATAGATTTTTCTACGAAAATACAAATAGATTAGTGGAACGGAATTCTATTCTATTTTTATTGCAGGGACCCCATTCTAATTCAGTTCTAGTTCATTTCTGGTTTCTAGTTCAGTTCCAGTTCAGTTTCTAGTTCAGTTTCTTGTTCAGTTCTAGTTCAGGTCTAGTTCAGTTCTAGTTCAGTTCTATTTCAGTTCTAGTTCAGTTCTAGTTCAGTTATAGTCAGTTCTAGTTCAGTTCTAGTTCAGTTCTAGTTCAGTTCTAGTTCAGTTCTAGTTCAGTTCTAGTTCAGTTCTAGTTCAGTTCTAGTTTCAGTGTCTAGTTCAGTTCTAGTTCAGTTCTAGTTCAGTTCTAGTTCAGTTCTAGTTCAGTTCTAGTTCAGTTCTAGTTGTTCTAGTTCAGTTCTAGTTCAGTTCTAGTTCAGTTCTAGTTCAGTTCTAGTATCAGTTCTAGTTCAGTTCTAGTTCAGTTCTAGTTCAGTTCTAGTTCAGTTCTAGTTCAGTTCTAGTTCAGTTCTAGTTCAGTTCTAGTTCAGTTCTAGTTCAGTTCTAGTTCAGTTCTAGTTCAGTTCTAGTTCAGTTCTAGTTCAGTTCTAGTTCAGTTCTAGTTCAGTTCTAGTTCAGTTCTAGTTCAGTTCTAGTTCAGTTCTAGTTCAGTTCTAGTTCAGTTCTAGTTCAGTTCTAGTTCAGTTCTAGTTCAGTTCTAGTTCAGTTCTAGTTCAGTTCTAGTTCAGTTCTAGTCAGTTCTAGTTCAGTTCTAGTTCAGTTCTAGTTCAGTTCTAGTTCAGTTCTAGTTCAGTTCTAGTTCAGTTCTAGTTCAGTTCTAGTTCAGTTCTAGTTCATAGTTCTAGTTCAGTTCTAGTTCAGTTCTAGTTCAGTTCTAGTTCAGTTCTAGTTCAGTTCTAGTTCAGTTCTAGTTCAGTTCTAGTTCAGTTCTAGTTCAGTTCTAGTTCAGTTCTAGTTCAGTTCTAGTTCAGTTCTAGTTCAGTTCTAGTTCAGTTCTAGTTCAGTTCTAGTTCAGTTCTAGTTCAGTTCTAGTTCAGTTCTAGTTCAGTTCTAGTTCAGTTCTAGTTCAGTTCTAGTTCAGTTCTAGTTCACTTCTAGTTCAGTTCTAGTTCAGTTCTAGTTCAGTTCTAGTTCAGTTCTAGTTCTAGTTCAGTTCTAGTTCAGTTCTAGTTCAGTTCTAGTTCAGTTCTAGTTCAGTTCTAGTTCAGTTCTAGTTCAGTTCTAGTTCAGTTCTAGTTCAGTTCTAGTTCAGTTCTAGTTCAGTTCTAGTTGAGTTCTAGTTCAGTTCTAGTTTAGTTCTAGTTCAGTTCCAGTTCAGTTCTAGTTCAGTTCCAGTTCAGTTCTAGTTCAGTTCCAGTTCAGTTCTAGTTCAGTTCTTGTTCAGTTCTTGTTCAGTTCTAGTTCAGTTCTAGTTCAGTTCTATTTCAGTTCTATTTCAGTTCTGGTTCAGTTCTGGTTCGGTTCAGTTCTAGTTCAGTTCTAGTTCTAGTTCAGTTCTAGTTCAGTTCTAGTTCAGTTCTAGTTCAGTTCTAGTTCAGTTCTAGTTCAGTTCTAGTTCAGTTCTAGTTCAGTTCTAGTTCAGTTCTAGTTCAGTTCTAGTTCAGTTCTAGTTCAGTTCTAGTTCAGTTCTAGTTCAGTTCTAGTTCAGTTCTAGTTCAGTTCGAGTTCAGTTTAGTTCAGTTCTAGTTCAGTTCTAGTTTAGTTCTAGTTCAGTTCTAGTTCAGTTCTAGTTCAGTTGTAGTTCAGTTGTAGTTCAGTTCTAGTTGAGTTCTAGTTTAGTTCTTGTTCAGTTCTAGTTCAGTTCTAGTTCAATTCTAGTTCAGTTCTAGTTCAGTTCTAGTTCAGTTCTAGTTCAGTTCTAGTTCAGTTCTAGTTCAGTTCTAGTTCAGTTCTAGTTCAGTTCTAGTTCAGTTCTAGTTCAGTTCTAGTTCAGTTCTAGTTCAGTTCTAGTTCAGTTCTAGTTCAGTTCTAGTTCAGTTCTAGTTCAGTTCTAGTTCAGTTCTAGTTCAGTTCTAGTTCAATTATAGTTCAGTTCTAGTTCAGTTCTGGTTCAGTTCTAGTTCAGTTCTAGTTCAGTTTTAGTTCAGTTCTAGTTCAGTTCTAGTTCAGTTCTTGTTCAGTTCTAGTTCAGTTCTAGTTCAGTTGTTGTTCAGTTCTTGTTCAGTTCTAGTCCAGTTCTAGTACAGTTCTAGTTCAGTTCTAGTTCAATTATAGTTCAATTATAGTTCAGTTCTAGTTCAGTTCTAGTTCAGTTCTAGTTCAGTTCTAGTTCAGTTCTAGTTCAGTTCTAGTTCAGTTCTATTTCAGTTCTGGTTCAGTTCTAGTTCAGTTCTAGTTCAGTCTAGTTCAGTTCTAGTTCAGTTCTAGTTCAATTCTTGTTCAGTTCTAGTTCAGTTCTAGTTCAGTTCTAGTTCAGTTCTAGTTCAGTTCTAGTACAGTTCTAGTTCAGTTCTAGTTCAATTATAGTTCAGTTCTAGTTCAGTTCTAGTTCAGTTCTAGTTCAATTATAGTTCAGTTCTAGTTCAGTTCTAGTTCAGTTCTAGTTCAGTTCTAGTTCAGTTCTAGTTCAGTTCTAGTTCAGTTCTAGTTCAGTTCTAGTTCAGTTCTAGTTCAGTTCTAGTTCAGTTCTAGTTCAGTTCTAGTTCAGTTCTAGTTCAGTTCTAGTTCAGTTCTAGTTCTGTTCTAGTTCAGTTCTAGTTCAGTTCTAGTTCAATTCTAGTTCAGTTCTAGTTCTATTTCAGTTCTATTTCAGTTCTGGTTCAGTTCTAGTTCAGTTCCAAACGAACCCTGCATAGTTTACAGTAGGTATATAAGTATGTAATTTAAAAAAGATCCTCTGCCGATAAATATTGTTCTCCAAGAAGAATGTTTAAAAAATGGTTCTTGATCTTGATTATGAGAATTCTTATGGCCTTAGATTATAATAATTATAAATAAATCTTGTTTAGTAATAAAAATATTAAGACCAAATATTAATTATTAAAAGCAATGCTCCAAACAGTGTCTAACAAAAGAAATGACACCATAAATTGAAAAAAATATAAACCCACGCCTTTTTGTAGTAAAATGTCAACACGTTGCTCTCTTTAAATGAGATATTGTGTTTTTTGCTGCAAAATACCATAGAGAAGAAAGAAAAATCACTTCAACAGTTTTAGGGTTTATTGACATGTTAATGACGTTTCAGAAAGCAGGGGTGAGGAAAACAAACAAAAAATTGAAATGATGTCAAAATTTTTAAATAAAACGCTTAATAAAATTTTCTGTTAATCAAAAAAATCTCAATATGTTTTAAAATGAAATTTTATTTAAAACAAGAAAATTCTTTAAAACACTTGAGGAAAGATGGAACATTTAATAACTTAAAATTTTGTTTTATTGAAATCTTAATAAATTTTATAAAAAATTCATATTATAATTTTGAATTTTAAAATTATAAAGAAAATTTAATATAAACAATTTAATTAATTACTAAAAAGTCTATGCAAAACATCAGACAAGGAAAAACTTTGTTAACAAAAAAGAAAAAAAAAACGAAAACATGTATAAATAAATAATTTGTTGTATAAACTTTTATTTAAATAAATATTTTGTTTTTTGTTATTTTTATTTTATTTCAATTTTATTAAAAATACATAAACACACACACAAAACAAGTAAAAAGAACATGAAAACATATAAAATTAATCACACACCCAAAATTGCAAAATTTAAAAGAAAACTAAAGAAAATTAATTCGCATTTTCTTTAAATACAAAATTAAAAAATCTTAAAAATTTTAAGATTTTTTCTTAATTTCACTCTCATATTAGTTTGAACACCATTTCCATTAAGTCCTGAAAAGGAAATTTTGTCCTATTACAGTTTTAGTTTAGTTCTAGTTCGGTTTTAGTTCAGTTCTAGTTCAGTTCTAGTTCAGTTCTAGTTCAGTTCTAGTTCAGTTCTAGTTCAGTTCTAGTTCAGTTCTAGTTCAGTTCTAGTTCAGTTCTAGTTCAGTTCTAGTTCAGTTCTAGTTCAGTTCTAGTTCAGTTCTAGTTCAGTTCTAGTTCAGTTCTAGTTCAGTTCTAGTTCAGTTCTAGTTCAGTTCTAGTTCAGTTCTAGTTCAGTTCTAGTTCAGTTCTAGTTCAGTTCTAGTTCAGTTCTAGTTCAGTTCTAGTTCAGTTCTAGTTCAGTTCTAGTTCAGTTCTAGTTCAGTTCTAGTTCAGTTCTAGTTCAGTTCTAGTTCAGTTCTAGTTCAGTTCTAGTTCAGTTCTAGTTCAGTTCTAGTTCAGTTCTAGTTCAGTTCTAGTTCAGTTTAGTTCAGTTCTAGTTCAGTTCTAGTTCAGTTCTAGTTCAGTTCTAGTTCAGTTCTAGTTCAGTTCTAGTTCAGTTCTAGTTCAGTTCTAGTTCAGTTCTAGTTCAGTTCTAGTTCAGTTCTAGTTCAGTTCTAGTCAGTTCTAGTTCAGTTCTAGTTCAGTTCTAGTTCAGTTCTAGTTCAGTTCTAGTTCAGTTCTAGTTCAGTTCTAGTTCAGTTCTAGTTCAGTTCTAGTTCAGTTCTAGTTCAGTTCTAGTTCAGTTCTAGTTCAGTTCTAGTTCAGTTCTAGTTCAGTTCTAGTTCAGTTCTAGTTCAGTTCTAGTTCAGTTCTAGTTCAGTTCTAGTTCAGTTCTAGTTCAGTTCTAGTTCAGTTCTAGTTCAGTTCTAGTTCAGTTCTAGTTCAGTTCTAGTTCAGTTCTAGTTCAGTTCTAGTTCAGTTCTAGTTCAGTTCTAGTTCAGTTCTAGTTCAGTTCTAGTTCAGTTCTAGTTCAGTTCTAGTTCAAGTTCTAGTTCAGTTCTAGTTCAGTTCTAGTTCAGTTCTAGTTCAGTTCTAGTTCAGTTCTAGTTCAGTTCTAGTTCAGTTCTAGTTCAGTTCTAGTTTCAGTTCTAGTTCAGTTATAGTTCAGTTCTAGTTCAGT